AATTTTATTCTAAAATAAAAATATAGAGAAAAATAAATTATATTTATGAGTAAATAAAATTTTATATAAAGATATTAATTGGATGAGAATTTTCATTAAAAATAATAAATTTAAAAAATAAAATTTAAATAATAAGATTAATATAAGCTGAAATATATATTAATTTTAAAATATAAAAAAATAGTGTGCGTGTGTGTGTGTGTGTGTGTGTGTGTGTGTGTGTGTGTGTGTGTGTGTGTATGCTATGTAAAAATGAAAGAAAAATGAAAACACACAAAAAAATATTACAACATAAGTGATGAAAAATAGAAAAAAGTGTTAAATTTATATATTAATGCCTAAAAACACACACAAAAATTACTTAAATTGCCATCAAGTGAATTGTAATTTTAAGCATATGAACGAGTTTGGATTCTCGCATTACGTTGTAGATCAAATTAAACATATTTATTTCAGTTTAATAACATATATTATGTTATAGATTAATTAAAATATATTAAATTGAATATAAAAGATAAAATTTCATTTAATTTTATAATTTTTAATCAAAATTTTGTGTGTATATATATATATATATATATATATATATATATATATATATATATATATATATATATATATATGTGTGTGTGTGTTTTGAATAAATTTTGAAGTCAAAAAAATATGATTTGTTCTTTTTTATGCATTTATTCTTAAATAAAAAACCATAATAAATAAATTTTAGTATTAAAAAACCATATTAGTATTTTTTTCATTACGAGTGCATCAAAGAGATAAAGCACAAATTAATATAAAAATTTATATGAAAATTAACAGATGAAACTTATTTTTACTAATGAGAAGATTAGTTTTTTAAATATGTATATTTATTTACAAGATAATGAATACTATTAGTATACAAAATTGTATTTGAATTATCAAGCGATTATTCTAAAATATTATTTTAATTATTTTATTTAAAAAATTATTTTAAATATTAAAAAATAATAGCAAATAGTTGGTATTGTGTGTGTAGTTGCATAGTTAATTTCTAACAAAATCAATGACTCTAATGTTATTATTTTTTTTATACATTATGATCATACTCAGTAGGTGAGAATGCGTAAAATAAATTAAAAAATATTTTAAAAAATTAAATAATAAAATATATATTAAAATTAATAGAGTGTAGTAAATGCTATAGAATTGATTTCATTAAAATTTGATTATATAAAAAAGAAGAAAAAAAGACATATATTCAATTTTTAAAATTTTATTATATAATAATTAAGCAAATAAAAATAGGTATAAAAATATTTGTTCAATTCCATACATAGAGAAAATAAATCATTTTTATTAATAAATAAAATTATAAAAAAATAAGAATAAAAATTAACTTGATAAGAATTTTAATAAAAAAAAATCAATTTTAAAGAATAAGAGTAGTTTATATTTATTCTAAAATCTGAAAATATATGATATATATTATATAATCGTTAGTTTGTATGGAAAAAGGTAACGATTGATTATTTAAAATTTTAATACCTAATTAAATAAAAAAAAGAACATAAATTGATGGAACAAAACGAAGGAAAAAAAGGCATGTGTAGTAATCAGCTAGGAGATTAAAATTTTTATTTTAAAATTTTAGAGACCAAAATGAAACAACCTAAAAATTTTAAATAAATAAATAAGAAAAAAAGAACCTAAATTGATGGAAAAAAGCAAAGGAAAAAAAAGAAAAAAGAAAAAGCATGTATAGTGAAACAACTTAACAAAAAAGAAAAGAAAAAAAAAACCCTTATCTATAGTAATAAATATTTATTTGTGAGGGGGCGAACAATGATTTTCACTATTCAAAGCCTCCACCCCTTTTAGTTATATAGAGACCAAAATCAAAAAACGTGAAAAATAAAAAAATTAAATAAAAAAGAACCTAAATTGATGGAAAAAGCAAAGGGAAAAAAAGACATGTATAGGGAAATAGTTTGAAAAAAAAAAACCCTTATCTACAATAATAAATAGTGATTTGATATAGGGTGAACAATGATTTTCACTGTACAAACCCCCACCTCTTTTAGCTATATGAGTTGCTTGTCGACGCTACACTCGCGAGTTTGATAGAAAAAAATCATTTTAAAATTTTAAAATTTTTTAATCATAAATTTTTGTTTAATTAATTTTTTAATATTTTTATGAATTTTTTTCTTAAAAAAACATAAATCATTCTTCTTTACGGATTGATTTTAAAATAACAAAATGTAATAACTTTAACTAAAATATTAATAAAAAATTTAAAAAACTTTGAAAATATAATTTTTATAATATTTTATTCACAAAATAAATTTATAATTAATGGATAAACTTTTAAAAAAATTAATAGATGAAAAAAATTCTTATTTAATGCCGATGAGAAGATAAATTTTTGAAATTATCCGCGCAACGCTACAGATAGATAGAAAAAAATTATTTAAAAATTAATAATTTTTTCATTAATTTTTTATTTAATTATTACTTGTTTTGTGTTTTTTATAAAAATTTTCCTTAAAAAACATACTTTATTCTTATTTCTTCAGGGATTCTTAAATAAAAACTTATAATAATTTAAACCTAAAATATTAAATAAGAATTCAAAAGAAAATATTTTAAAATTATATATTTTTTTTATAAGAATGTATCCAAAAAAATAAAGTTACAATTAATCTATAGACTTGCATAAAAATTAACAAATGAAAAAATAAATTTTATTCTTATTTAATATTGGTTAGAAGATTATTTTTTTCAAGTATATGCATTAGATATATATATATATATATATTTACAAAATAATCAATAAAATTAGCATAAAAAACTATATTTGAATAATTACTTGGTTCCTTTAAAAAATTATTTTAATTATTTTATTTTAAATAAATTCGTTCTATAAGGTTAAAAAATATTTATAGTAAATAATTTGTATTATGTTGGAGGATGTATGGTTAATTTTTAATAAAATCAACGCTTCAATTATTTTTTTATACGTCTTGGCCATACTTAATGAACTAAGATAAATTATTTGAAATACGGTTTTAACCGTTTAGAATAAAATAATTATATATTTATATATACATAACTATCATTTAAAAATTCTAAGAATTCATGATAAATATTATACCAATTTATTTTTTTTAAATCATGTTTTAAAATTTTATTCTAAAATTTAAACATAGAGAAAAATAAATTATATTTAACAATAAATAAAATCTTATATAAAAAATATTAATTGGGTGAGAATTTTCATAAAAAATGATAAATTCAAAGAATGAAATTTAAACGATAAGAGTAAGATAAGCTAAAGTATATATTAATTTTAAAATGTAAAAAGATAGTGTGTGTGTGTGTGTGTGTGTACTGCGTGAAAATGAAAAAAAAAAACTACGGATGAAAAAAAATGTTACAACATGAGAGACGAAAAATAGAAAAAAATGTTAAATTTGCATATTAATGCACAAAAACACAAAAAAAAAAAAAAGAAAAGAAAAACAAACAAAAAAAAACTTAAATTGTCATCAAGTGAATAATAATTTTATGCATATGAGTCTGTAAGTAAATAAGAATTTTAGACTTATGAACGAGTTAGGATTTTCGCGCTATACCGCAAACCAAACTAAACATATTTATTTTTGTTTTATAACATATATTATATTGTTGATTAATTAAAATATATTAAATTAAATATAAAAAATAAAATTTCATCTAATTTAATAATTTTTAATTAAAATTTTGTACCTATATATATATTTTTTAATGTTTTGAATAAATTTTGAAGTTAAACAAAATATGATTTGTTCTTTTTTATACATTTATTCTTAAATAAAAACTTATAATAAACAAATTTTAATATTAATTTAAAAAAAAATCTTAATATTTTTTTCATTGCGTTGCATCGAAGAAATAAAGCAACAATTAATATAAAAACTTGTATAAAAATGACCAAATGAAACGTTTTTATCGATAAGAAGATTATTTTTTAAAAATATATACATTTGATTTATATATATTTATTTACAAAACAATAAATAATATTAGTATACAAAATTGTATTTGAATTATTAGGCAATTATTCTAAAATATTATTTCAATTATTTTATTTGAAAAAAATCATTTTAAATATGAAAAAAAAATAACAAATAGTTGGTATTGTGTGTGTAGATGGATAGTTGATTTCTAATAAAATCAATGATCGTAATGTTATTAATTTTTATACATCATGACCATACTTAATATGAGAAAATATAAAATAAATTGAAAAATATTTTAAAAAATTAAATGGTAAAATATATATTGAAATTAATATATTACGTAAAAAACTATAAAACCGATTTCGATAAAATTTGATTATATAAAAAAATAAGAAAATAAAATACATATATTTAATTTTTAAAATTTGATTATATAAGAATTAAGCAAACAAAACAGTATACAAAAATCTTACTCAAATTCATACATAGAGAAAATAAGTCATATTTATTAATAAATAAAATTATAAAAAAATAAGAATAAAAATTAACTTGATGAGAATTTTTATCTAAAAAATCAATTTTAAACAATAAGAATAGTTTATATTTGTTCTAAATTTAAAAACATATCATATAAACATAAAAATATCGTATATATTATATAATCATCAGTTTGTGTGAAAAAAAATACTATTTATTTTTTAAAATTTTAACACCTAATTAAATAAAAAAGAACATAATTTAATGAAAAAAAGCAAAAGAAAAAAAAGAAGAAGAAGAAGAAGAAGAAGAAAACATGTGTAGTGCATCAGCTTAAAGGATTAAAATTTTTATTTTATAATAGTTATCCGTAGTCCAATATAGAGTAGAAATACAATTTAGTCCACTAAACAGAATTACATTATGAATATGAGGAACCAAGACTGATCAGTGGATTTTCTGGCTAAGATCAGTCAAGTCATGTTTGATTACATTTCAGTATCCTTGTTCGCATATAAAGGCCAGGGGAATCAAGGAACGCAATCATGGCGGCAGCACAACTTGCTGACACAATACAAGGTCTGAGATGGTCTTCCCATGCCGGTCAATCCTACGAGAGCAGTTGACGCCACCATCTAGAATGTTACGGACCACGATATTCAAAGAATTGATTCCCTTGGCTTCATAAATTTCTACATTAACATGTTCGCTTACCCAATTGTCTCTCTTCATGATGGCAAATGAGTCGGGAAAGGAAGAGGTGTTCAAAAGAGTTGAGACAACTTCCTTCACCCACTGGGGTGTTATAATTAGCTTCACTCTCTCAATATCAGAGGGATAGTGTGGGATGATTGAAAAATTCAAGTCATTTCCTTTGTCTCCAACCCTACTATGCGCTACAGAGTAAAGAGGAATCTTCTGGCCAGATGGAGCAGGAGAGGTCTTAATTCCTGGTGAAGAACTTTTTGGATGAGATGATGATAATCGGTCGTGCCAAACAGTGGTTTTCACTAAACTTCCAACGTCAACTTCTTCCTCATTTGAACATGTTCCCTTCGTGCACTTTACTCCAGTCCGCCAGAAAACATGTTCACGACCAACCTGAAACAACAATAAACTTCTCAATCTAAGATAACTCCCACTGTACTGACTATTGAGTAACCTACAGAATAAAAACATGAAAGTTTTTTACAAACGGCTAAACCAACCTCACAACTTGATCTGATTAAAAAACTTCCGAAATTCAACGTTAATTAAAGTCATACAAACGGAGCAATACAAAGAGACCAAAACAAAAGGAGTTCAATAGCTAAAGGGAGCAATTGGAACAAGGCATAGTTATAACGCAATATTTGTAGCATGGAGATTTGGAGAGATGACAAATGAATTGCGATCAAATTTCCACATGGCTCCAGCAAGTGCAACTCAATTGACTAGCACATTCTTTCAAGTAATGATTCTGAGACACCATATTGGTTGTAGATAAAAGTTTTAGACAGAAGATGTTGCAGAGAGAGAGAGAGAGTACCAATTGTTTTTCAAGAATTATCTCTTTCTTGTGTCCAGTGCTGCATCAGTAAAAAAATGAGAAAGGTCATATTCTAACATGGAAAAAGGATGCTAGGCCACTAAGATTAAGGAAGTAAGGAAGAACTAATAAATAGAATCTACAGACAATAGCTATGCAAAGAAATTAAGTCTTCTATCTAAACAAACTATGCATAGAATGTATCAAATGACATCTTCCGTTTTCTTTGGGAAATAAAAATGAGCAATCAACAAAATTCCAAACAAAAAAATTCACCATACCTCAATGATGTTATTAGATCTTTAAGAATTTTATTATTCCTTTTTTTTTTTTTCTCCTAGTACTGTCTTCAAGTAAAACATACAACTGTACATACAGTAATTGAATCATTTAGACAACTGTTGGTATTCAGTACAGCCCACATTCGGATGTGTTAAATTATTCCCAGGTTTACGAATCTGACTACCTAAGCCCAGAACCTTCTGACTTGAATGTTGATGATCAAATTACTTAAAGTTAGCTTGTGAGAAAGAAAAAAACATAAGCTGAACTAAATCAAACTAGTGCCCTTACTGACAAGATTGAGTTTTCCCCCTATTAATTGGATCATTCATGAAGATGAAGATATAATGATTACAAATAACCAAGGCCTCGTGGAAAACATCCCTTAAGTGAGGTGCTCCTGACCTTAAACAGCTATAAGAAGGAAGAGTCGAGAAGAAATTGACCTGATACCACCACCAGCAGCTGGTCCATTTGTATATAAAGCCGTAAACTCTGTTGCAAATTGGACTGCATGCTCCTTCAACTCAAATAGTCCATCCATACGTAACCTTACATCTTCACTAGTGCCACGCGATGAACTATTGTCATGAATGCTAGTCGTCTTCAGGCTATCGAGCCCAATAATATATGAAACAACATTACTACTAACACCAGGAAATGCTTCTTCCATCCATGACCTAACCTAATAAATATGACAGGAATATGTTACTTGACAGATTATGAAAAATGAAAATAAAGAGAAGCTTCTATGAGCTGAACTAGTCTCTTTAAAAGAAAAATCAACATGATGATGGTCTTCAACAATTTTGTCATCACACACTAGTTAACGGTGTCATTACCAGATATTCAGCAGCTTTAGCACGTTTTACACACTCACACCCTCCGTAGGATATCTCTCCCCATCCTTTCCATCCACAATCCTGGGAAAAAGAAACCAAATAAAAGATAGAAAGAAAGCAGCCAAGAACCAGGGGAATACCATCCGTCCATGCGCTGACTAAGAAATGCTCAAATACAAACATAAGATACAACAATGGTCAGAGCCAGATTTAGGATCTCCAGTAAACATTCATATTGCTTCTAAATTGCATTATCCTAAAGAAAACATAATGGCTCTGCTAGACCACCTACGGACTAATTTCCGGATCAGTCAGTGAAATGTATCACTGTGACCATTTTGGCAGTGACTGAACAGATGCCTCCTGCTTGCACCCTCGCTCATACGCACACTTGACCAGTCATAAATGCATGAAATCATTCAAGCAACTAGAATGTAAATAATTATCAGAGTGCGAACTTCAACCTACAATTATTCTCAGCAAAAGCAGAAATTTGAGGCAAAACTAAAATGATAGTTACCTATCAAATCCTTCTATTTAATTTACGTTGTGCATAAATTAGACCCAAATGATGCATACATAAAGTTACCTTTGGAATCAAGCGCAAGAGTTTATCTGGCACTGAACTAACAGATGGTTTAGAACCAGAACAGAGAACTTTATGTGTTGATAATGAGTGAAATGAAACATTCCCGAAATCGATTACCTGCATTCCAGTACAAGATTTCATCTTTTAGTCCTTCAATACTCTCAACTTTTGCAAGTCCCAAATATGCACATCTAACCTACCACATCAGGGGTGACATATGCACCTGGATCCCCAACCTCGTAAAGAAGTTGTTGAGCACAAGTACTAAAATTTAATACACCACCACTACCCTCTGCCTTTGCTACACAAACACTTCCATCGAAACATACTTCTGCATAAGGAAGTGACAAATCTAGGAGAGAAGGGAAAGAAATGTCTCGGTATTCGTCACCTACACAGAGCAAATACAGAATATTACATCAATCACTTAAAGTAGCTCCAGTTCGACCTTTATCACATATTATATCAATTCAGTACTGATCAAATAAAGCTAATCGTGCTCACCTGGATGCATGAAGTATCCTCCTGTGAGTTGACAACCACACTCAAGGAGGTGGCCAGCCAGAGATCCTTTTGCTAGCACCTCTAAGTCATCCCAATTCCAACCTAGTTCATAAAGCTATTCATATCTACCAAATCGATCAGATTGCTTTTCGAAATGGAGTTAAACAACTGCAAATTTGACAAAACAGGAGCACTTGGACTCCACATAAGACAATAGCTGTAAGTCATAGACTAGTACATAGCAGCCAACCCAAACCACATAGCAATCCAACAATCTAGCATTACAAATGAATAGACAATTCGTATTTTCTAGTAAACTTCTTCCAGCAAAAGATGTCTGCTCTATCATGCACATGAATATGTTCCATTTCCCTTGACATTTAGTTAATGCACTTCAATATATGCATCTCAATGTATCATCCTACATGTAGTTGCTTAACACACCAAGACTGACATTTGGCTAAAAAAAAAAAAAATCCTTTTGTAGTCCCATGTTTCTCAAAGTGAGAGTTTGAAAATATATAATATGATGCAACAGAGCCGTAGTCACGCAGAAGAGCTGCTTTCATTAACGAAATTAGAAGAGAAAAAATTACTAAACTTGTTGAAAACACAATGAGGAAGAGAAAAGTGAGAGGAAACAATAAGATGTCATACCATTGGAGCTAAAAACAAGGCAGCATCAGCAACCCGTGAAGTAATTACAACATTTGGTTGATACTTCTCCAAGCATTCTACAATAGGAGCTGCTCCAAGATAAGTGCTAATGCCCTTCAGAGATCAAAACCAAAAATCCAGTTGTTGTTTCAATTAAGGAAAAAATAAGAAGAGAAATCAAGCTCTCCAAACTGTACACACAAGTAAACATTTTCTAGTGCCACAAATTCATAATTCATCATACAAAAACTTTACACCCTTCACTTATTTTCATGAGCGAATTGAATTGTATACAGCACCAACAATAAAAGTGCCAATAAATCTTCATAAGCAAAAAATTTCATGTCAGTAACGTTGAATGCCAACAACAAAGTAAGCAAAACAAGTAGAACAAACTGATAAAACAAACATTAAACGCAAAAAAAAGTACCAGATTCTTACACCTTCCATGATATATGACTTCTCAGTTGACGATCCAGAACCTGAAAATGATAAACATTTTTACTTCAAATCCTAAAACTCTACAAACTTTCAACACAGATGCACATTCATTAAGCATATTTACAGTAATGAATGACGATCTGATCAGTACCAAATTTAGCAGAAGAAACCTCATGAGCCACAGCAACAGAAACACCAATCCCCAAACCAGTAGCTAATTCTATAACCTTCTCTTGTGCACCAACCGGATCCACTAACCAAAACAAGAAAACAAAAATAATTAAATCAAAGATTAAGCATGCATAGTATTAATTCATTCTATTTTAATTAATCCTTACTTGCACCCATATTGGTAATTATACAGGTCCCTCTCTCCACAGCCAAAGGCAGTAACAATCGCATCCAATCAGTAACTGCACAAAATTACTCAAGAAATAAATAAAATATTAAACTACACACAACATCAATTAGAAAGAAAGAGATATGAGATTGCGTAAAAGAGACGTAACTGCGAGAATCGTAACCGTCACCACCGGAAATCATCACCTGATAACGATCGGCTAGAGTTCGTTCTGCTAAGCATTCAAGAACTATATAGTTTAGCTCTTTAACTCTTTGGAGTAATTTAAATGCTGCTATTGGTCTGTCGCCGCCGAATCCTGCACCGCAGCCTATGTACACCTTTTCTCTTCGCTTTTTTGGATTCCCTCTCTGCATTCATTTAAAATTAGCTGCTTCATTTCCTTGTCTAATCTAATAATATATACAGCAAAAGAAAAAGAAAATGGATTAACGAAAATAATTAACCAGTTTGATCACACAATTGTGAATTTCATTCCCGTCTTGATCTTCTTCCATCGATAGGTCCGGTCCTATCAGTGACGCACTAGAATTGGATAAGTTCGTTTCGCAGAGAAGAGGAATGAAGAATTTCACATGAAACTGAATTGCCAAGTCAAATGGTCGACCGTTTGGTGTATGTAATTACCGTACTGACCTTGTGGATTCCCCTGGGAAAGCAGGGTAGTTTCGTAATTCAAAGGTTTAGATTGTACTTAGGACTTAGTGGTTCAACTTCAGATTGCAGTAGTTAAGCAGAGGACTGAGTCGAGCTGCTCGCAGCTCGATGCTAAAGATTTGTTTGTTTCTATTTATATAACCCGCGCCTGCAGAGAATATGATATATTAGTAAATAAGTGAAATGCTAAGGTGGGTTTTGACCTCGACACCATACGAACGTCACTCCGATTTGATAATTTAGGTTCATCATGAACCCAGACCGAACCCAATTGTCTCTAAAATTATGTCAGCTAAGTTTGAATACGTTAAATCCGAATTTCGATCAACTCATTGCACAGAGGGTTTTAACCAACTATTTTTTTTATAATAATTGTTAAATTGGATTCAAGATATGATTCACCAACCACATTTTGTTAATGTTGTGGATTACTAGGTTGTCTCATATGTCCCATTTTTTTAATTTTAAGTGAAAATGAAAATGTCAATTTTTTTTTTTTTTTAATGATTCGCTGAGTACGGGCCTGCTCTAGTTTTGGCAAAAGAAATTAGGCTGGTCACTACGAATGGACCAGGCCCACTAGTTTTTGCCATAGAAACAAGTGAGCATTAGTGGGACCCAGCGGTGGTGGGTCCCGATGTCGGTGGTTGTTATCCACGTTATGTGATGACCTGTCCATCTTCTGGATTGTTTTCTTACAGGTATGTAGTCCAACTGCCACTTTGTACTGCTTATTTTTTGCTTACGAAACCCTGATGATCGTCCTCTTTCTCCACCGTACTTGGATCCTCTTCCAACTAAAATAACGCAACGAGTAACCAGCTTCATCCTTTTAAAGAAACCCTTTTGTCCGTTTTGTTCAAGATGGCCACCACCATTACCTTATTTTTAGCAGCTGGAAATTGTGGCAAAGAGAGGCCATGTGTTGAATTTGGTTCAAATTCTTCCATTGGTAAGGATAGTTTTGGTGAAATTTTGCTTAGAAGTTGTAAATTTAGAAGGGGAAATGGATATGGGTGTAAAGGGGTTCGTGTCGTTGCAAGAACTAAGAAATGGAAGAAGCATGAATACCCTTGGCCTGATAATATCGATCCAAATATTACTAGTGGACACTTGAGTTACTTGTCTCATTTCAAGCCTTTGACTGACAAACCGAAACCAGTGGCACTACCTTTTGAGAAGCCGTTGATTGATCTTGAGAAGAGAATTGTTGAGGTCAGTCGATTGTTTTTCTTTCTTCTTTTTAGTGTAATTGTATTGATAAGCAGGCATTCTTCTTGAGCCTTTTTATTATTATTTGTTGTATAGCTCAGAATGTTTCTTGCAGGTACGTAGATTGGCTGATGAAACTGGCTTGGACTTTAGTGATCAAATTTTGGCATTAGAAAGCAAGTATCAGCAGGTAAATTTTTCTATAACCTAAAACAATTTTAGTTTTTGCAGTCAAATGAAAATTTAGTATGACTTCATTTTCGAATCGTAGCATTTGGAGTTATAGCTAGACATCCACAAAGATCCTTCATTTCCATTTAACTAACGAAAAGTAAAGGTCCCTGCAATACATAATGCGAAAAATTTCACAGGATCAGACATGAGCCAACTTCTTCGATAGAAGCATTAATTCATGCAACTTATATGGCATAAATTTTGTTTATAATGTCTGCAAGTAGCTGAAACTAGTGAATTCTTGAACTGGACCAGCATGACTTACCAACTCTATCATTGATAGGTATTATGTTAGTCCTATTTGTTATCTCTACTTGATATTCATGTTAATTGCATATATTAATTCTCTCCAATTCAATTTCAGGCTCTGAAAGATTTATACACGCACTTGACACCCATTCAGCGCCTGTGTATTACTAGGCATCCCAACAGACCAACAGTTCTTGATCACATTTTCAATATCACTGAGAAGGTAAGGCATTTCTTTATATCTATTTGTACTGACGTATGAAGTGTAATTTCTGATTTTTTCTTTTGTCATCGTTTAGTGGGTGGAACTCCATGGAGATCGTGCAGGTTATGATGATCCAGCTATTGTGACTGGTCTTGGAACCATTGATGGTAAAAGCTATATGTTTATAGGCCATCAAAAAGGGAGGAACACAAAGGAGAATATTGCCCGCAACTTTGCAATGCCAACTCCTCATGGGTATGTTCAAGAATGTTACCACAAACAAATAAAAGAAGCTTTCAAACTGCAAAACTTTTTAATCAATCATTTTGCAAAATTTTAGAGAACTCGGACCAAGATGATAAATATCATTAGTTATCTTAGTTCTTGCTTGTTGCAAAGAATGCTGAAAGTATCATTATGAGCCTTGCATATCATGCATGTTTTTCTGTGAAGGACTAGATTTATGCTTGAAGCATTGACATAAACAGCTATCGGAAGGCCTTGCGCATGATGAAATATGCTGATCACCATGGTTTCCCCATAATCACTTTTGTTGATACTCCTGGGGCCTTTGCTGATCTCAAATCAGAGGAACTTGGCCAGGTAGGTACACCTTTCCCTTACCTTGGAAGTTGCCCAGCATTCATGCGTTGTGGCATTATCATGGATGAATTGATCTCTTCTGACGCAGGGTGAAGCAATAGCCCATAATCTGAGGACTATGTTTGGCCTGAAAGTGCCTATTATATCAATTGTAACCGGTGAAGGTGGTTCTGGTGGAGCTCTTGCGATTGCTTGTTGCAATAAAATGCTTATGCTGGAGAACTCTGCTTTCTATGTTGCAAGGTGATAGTAGTTCTTCTTTTTGTTTTTTTTTTCTTATTTTTCTCTCTTCGAAATTGTACTATTTGTTAGTTGCAATCTAGGAAACCCATTAAATTCTCAATAGTGTTCCAAACCATAAATTGGTATAGAAGTTAAACTCTCTATTCCTCTTTAATGACCTAATAAAGCTGCAAATAGGAAGACTGATCTGCTTAAAGTATACTGCTTCTGTTTAGGTAATATTTCACAGTGCTGAAACTAGCAATTTAGAACACTGGTTTGTAACTAGTGTTCACAGTGGTTAGGTGCGTATTATGCTTGCAAAAACAAATTTTTATCTGTGTGATGCGTTACAACTGCGCATATGAGAGCTCATTTCATCTCTCAGTGTTAGCTCCGATTATGGAGTTTCTTATATGCACAATGAATTTCTCCTTTCCCTGTTATCTTCTTTGTGGCTTTTAAACTTCTGGAATTCTGCACACTCAAATTCTTAATGATTCCTTGATATCTGCATTTTTGCATCATTTATGTGGTATTGTTCCTCTGATCAGTCCTGAAGCATGTGCTGCAATATTGTGGAAGTCTTCTCAAGCAGCTCCTAAGGTACTTGAAGTGTTTAACAATTAGGTTTATAATGATCTGGCTCGTTTATTTATGACAACATGGTTACAACTTGTCTAGGCAGCTGAGAAACTGAGGATTACAGCTCAAGAACATTACAAGCGGAAAATTGCTGATGGCATCATTCCTGTATGCAATCTCTTCCTATAAGAATTTCTTCCTTGAAATCAGCACCTAAAAAACAAAAAATTATGGCATATATTCAACTCAGAAACTTTCTTCAGTTCAGTTTTTCACTGCTGATTCATTACTATCATTTACAGGAGCCTCTTGGGGGTGCTCATGCAGATCCTGCATGGACTTCCCAACAGATTAAGTTTGCAATCATCCAAAACATGGAGGTAAGTGATATCTACATAAGGACATCTGCAACCCTTTTTGTAAGAGAATATCGTTTTAAATTTTTGCAGAGCTATTCACTCAGGAGAAACATATCCTGTCCTTTTACTTGTTCCCTTGTTAAAATTATATATGTTGCTACTGAAGTCATTCTCAGATTGCATATCCATTATTGGAGGACAAAAGTTAGTTGAGCATGGTTTCCAGCTTAAATTGCAACTCTGCTGACTGTATTTGCTAGTGCTATCTTTCAAGAACTTTTCTTTTTGCCATTAGATAGTGCCCTGTGCAACTATATCTGCATAGATTTATTTGGCTTTAAAATTTTTGAGATATCAATATCTTTCATGCCAGTAAAGCAAGATGTTTTCCCTTTATTTTTGTTACTTGTCCTTTATGATTTTGCCTCCTGCTTTTGTTGCCTTTTTTGCTTTGTTGGTTTTTTAGTCATCCCCAATCCTTACAGCAATGCTAACATGCATGTAGGAACTAAAAAAAATGGATAAGGAAGAGTTGCTCCACCACCGGATGCTCAAGTATCGTTATATTGGAGGTTTCCAAGAAGGAGTGCCAGTGGAAACAGAGAGGAAGCGCAACATGAAACTATCCGAGGTTAACAAGCCAATGACAGATGATATTGAGCTAGAGCTTGAAAATTTGAAGAAGAAGATTCTTGAATCCAATAGTATGATGGATCCAATTTCAAGCCAAGCAATTGAGAAGCTCAAGCAAGACCTGGACCAGGAGATTACCACTGCATTTATTTCAATGGGCTTACAAGAGAAGCTTGAATCGGTCAAATTGGAGTTATCTAAAGCCTCAAATGACCAACCTAATAAGCCCCCTGATCGCCGCTTAAAGGAGAAGGTCGACCAAATCATGCAAGAATTCCAGCATAATTTGTCACGACCGGGAGCCTATCTTAGGTTAAAGCAGAAGCTTGAAAAGTTAAACATGGTAGGCAGGCTCATTGAGCTAAAAGAGAAAAGTGAGAAACTGAAAGAAGAGATAAATCAAAAGGTTCCAGAAGAGTTAAAAGCAAAGATGAAACTTTTGAAGGATGCTCGAGAAAAGTTGTCAAAAGGCAAAGCAATAGACAAGGATTTGGTGGAACAAACAGATAGGGCTAAGCAAGAGCTGATTGATTTTCTAAAGTCAGTTGGGTTGGATATTGTAGGGGTAACTAAAAGAAATGTAGCACCTCCACCTCCTTCCTTGCAAGAGAAAATAACAAAGGTCAATAAAGAAGTAACTGAGGAAATTGGAAGAGTGATAAATGTGGCAGGTCTTGGTGACAAAGTTGAGGAACTGAAGTCAGAAATAGCAAGAGGGTCGCCTTCTGAAAAAATAGAAAAAATGCAAGCTGATATCAAGAAGGAAATTCTTGCTGCTTTGGATACCATGAAATGGAAGGAAAAGTTAGAGAACCTGAGAGTGGAGTTGACATCCATCTCAGAAACAGCTGAAGACAAGGTTGGTGTCGAGATCGGCAGATTGTGAAATACATCTTACTCTATACATAGAAGGATGATCACTTGGTATAATATTTTTGGTGCAAATAAGAGTTGTAGTTTTGAATCCTGCATTTAGAGACATGAAGAAATGTATTCTTGCAAATATTTTCTGCATTTTCCTTTTTCTTTTTCTGGGCTGTTTAACATCACTTGGAACAGCGATGGGACAAAATGTAATATTTTTGTATCGTATTTGTGTAATTCTAGTGAATGATTTTATTTTGAAATTTGTAATGTTTGATGAATGTGATGGGGGAAACTTGTGATTCTATAGAGCAAATAATATTCAGAGACATGTTGCGTAGTGGATCTATCATGCCATAAAGGATTAGGTATGAGCTTATCAGATATGATAAGGATTGGCTCAGATGATAGATTTTGTCCTTTTCTTTTTTTACTTGATAGTCGTGGATGTTTATTGGCGTAACTATTTTATTTGTTTCTGATTTTCTAGCTTATCATGCTTGTCTCTCAAGTTTATATATATATATATATATATATATTGAAAGAAATAAAAGTTGAATTTTTATTTTTTTTTCCTTTGGCTTTATTAAATGCTCCGCTCTACAGTTTCACTTTTTTCTTTAATTTTGTCCGGTCCTACGGATGTTTGCAGAAAGCACTAGATCATGATTTGATTTTCCGTATTCTTCCTTTTGTTTGTTTGCTTTCGAGCTATATTGCCTTTGCTCCTGTTACTGCAACATAAGTAGACTCATATAAAGACATTCTGGAAGTCAATTTTTTTCAACCTTTGAACCACATGGTATCTCTTGATTGATACTCATTTTGTTACATTTAATTTTTTTTTTTTACTAATAATGCAGGAGTTGCATGTTTCTTTAAAAAAAAAATGAAAAAGAAAGAAAGAAAGAAACCAACATTCTCCAGTGTTATTATAAAAATTGCCAGGAAATTCGATTTTTCAATTTAATGATTTTTTAGTGGTTTTCTTTTTTTATGGAAAAATGTGACATGCGTATATTTTATTGTGAAAATAGGCATCTGATGGCAGGGATGTCTCGATCAAAACATCTTTCCGATAAAAGGTTCAAATCAGTAAAACAATAATTAAGCGATTGTCTATTGAAATAGACATAGTTCAGGGGTATTCATACAGTTTATAGCATTTAAATATAAACATAAAGCTATGTAGCACCGGACTCCCCAATGTCTTTTGTAATTCCTAACGGATTAAAAAAAATTTGAAATTCCACTTGCACCTCGCGACTTGTTTGTTTAATCTACCATAACCCATTCGAGTTCACTTTGGATCCAATGATAAGGAATGAAAACAAAGAATTATAATATGATTTTTTTTTCAAAAATAAAATTTTTAAATTTTAAATAAAGTTGATTGAAATAATATATATATAACTAGAAATTATTAAAAAAACAATGTACCTAACTAGTAAAATATATTGTTTTTATAATATTTCATCAATGATCATTCACTAATATCAAATGAACATTATATGATCTTACTTATTATATAAGATTAAAATATGTATTTAGATTGCTTGGTAAGATAATTTATAAAAGTGAAAAATCACTCAAATAATTACAAATAAACAAAACTCACTTTTATTTTAATTTTTATTCAGTTATCTGACTTTTAAGACTTTATTTAAAAAAAACAAATATAAAATTATATAATAAAAAAATATTTATACAATAATCAACTTTAAAAAACACATCTCACTATGTTACACATTATGTTTTTATTTTGTTTAAAGACATAAAACATATCATGAACATATAAAATAAAGACAATCACATTCATAACAAAAATCTAATTAAATTGTATTAGGATAATATTTTACTAATTATAACCATGGCATGTGATTTAAACTGCATTATTAACTGTAAAAAAATTAAATTACGATTTGAATAACTCATTCAAACAATAACAAAATTTAGACTTCTCATCCTTTTCTGTCACACCATGGTTCTAGCATTATTTTAGAAAAATTATACATTAAAAAATCTATTAAAATTTGATAAAATGAAAATAAAATAATTTGGTTGTAAACGAGCAACATCAGCAGTATCTTTGTGTGTCCATTACAAAAATATTTCAAAAAAGGTCGGTGGCGTCACACAATATTTAAAAGAAGGAGGGCAGCAAATGCAAATAACAAACAATATCTTGAAGCCCTAGAAACCGTTTACCCCTCAGTTTTTCGCCTTTTCATCAAAACGCGCAACCAGTACGAGCGCCATGATTCTTCCTCTTCATCTTCTATCTCTGTAGCCTTCAAAAGCGAAAACATCCAATTTCTCTCACTGCAACTTCAAAAATACTCCATTCTCTCATTTTCTTCTCAGATCCGCACCATTTTGACCCTCGATTTTTCCCCTAATTTACGATCTCATCCGAACGGAAACCCTACGTCTTCACTCCCTTACAGAACCAGCGCCTCTCCTTCGGAATACCATCCCGTTTTGCGCTAATTTGCGATTTTACCCCATTAGAGAACCCTATATTTTATTCTCTCACTGTATAAATTTTTCAATTTCAACTTACAAAAGAAACCTTTAGTTTTAAATTCTTTGAACCAAAGCGCTGCCGTTTTAACTCTCATTTATTCTTGTAAGTATTTTATTCTACCGTTATAACCATGAAACCCTTGGCTTGAGATCGTTCTTGTTTTCCAGCTTTTTGTACAAATTTTGGGATTTGAATCGGTGATTTAGTTGCTAAGTTAGGGGTAGGCTTCTTTTTTTGTGATGAACAACAATAGAGGAAGGTATCCGCCGGGGATCGGTGCCGGTAGAGGCGGAGGTATGAACGCGAACCCTAATTTTCAATCCAGGGTGCCGCAACAGCAGTATGTGCAGAGAAATTTCGGGCAGAATCATCACCAACAACAATATCATCAACATCAACAGCATCATCACCAGCAACTGCAACAGCATCATCAGCAACAGCATCATCAGCAACAGCAGTGGTTGAGGAGGAATCAGTTAACTGCTGCCGATTCAAGTGTTGATGAGGTCGAAAAGACTGTTCAGTCTGAGGCCGTTGACTCAAGGTTAGCTTTTATGTGTATATATATATATTTACATATTATGTTTGTATGCGATTTTGCTTAAATGAATGTTTACATGTCGTATGAGTGCTTGCTAGTGATGGAAAAGAGCCATTAGATGTCAGTTCTGGAGTGCCTTAACTATTTTGCAGGAGAAATATCTGAACGCAGAGATTTTTTTGCTATAATTATAAGTTATCAGAAAAGGATGAGTAGGAAAAATTTGGGACTGGATGCGAGCATCATTGATGTTTGCTGTTATTTGGGAGCAGTTTGAGTGTGCTTTGGGAAGTGTTTGATGATTTCGTGTGATGGGCTGGTAATTGGGTATGGTAGATTCGATTTGTCTTTTGAATTTGTTTTCTGGGCATTTAATAAACTGCCACAACTTGCTTAGAGAAATTGGTGGTTGTTTTCTTGTTTTGGGATTTTGAAGCAAATTGAACAAGTTTTGGCATCTTACTCAGGAATGAAACACTTTGGGGCTTTGAAAAGCAAATTTCATGGGTTTTCTTGCGGCTACAAGTAGGGGTGTTCGTTCGGTGATTCGGTTCGGTTTTAAAATTTTATTGTCCAAAAAAAAAAACCAAAATCGAACCGAATTATTACTGGTTTTTTTATTCGCTAATTTGGTTTTCACCTGTAATTAATACTCAAGATTTTTTTTATTTTCTTATATTTGTTTCTCATAAAATATTTTACAATTAAATTGGTCAATGTAAAATATTATATGATCAATGTTTAAATTTAGTTCATTTGTTGAAGAACATTTTCAACTCTTGAAGTTCTATAAAATAAATGATAAATTAATCCCTCTAGTTTTGAGAAACAAATTTGGTCTCTATATTTTGATTTTGAGAAACAGTTTCAATTTATTTTAAAAATAAATTAATATTAATTTAAGCATGATCAACATTGATCAGTGAACTAATATATAATTTACTTCAATTTCATAAAATATTTTTTGAACATGAATCCACTTAAGATACCATTCAACTATTTCAATCATGAATTTTTTTTAAAAAAATTTTAATAATTCGGTTATTCGGTTAACCAATTTTTTTTTTAAAAAAAAAACCGAAACCGAAACAAAAAACCGGTTATATATCAGTTCGGTTTTTTTAAAAATTTTCTAAAATAAAAGAACTGCACCGAAATTGATATTTCGGTACGGTTTTTCGGTTTTCACCGAATAGTGAACACCCTAGCTACAAGTGGTTTGGTGAATGTTTCTTGTTCCTGTTTAATTTAAATTTCAGTTTTTGTACTACCTATCCAATAATTGATGCATCCTTTTGTTCCTGTATTAAAGGAGTTTCAGTAGTTTGCTGCTTTTCAACCTTGCCCATACTTGTTCATTCGTTATTTCTTTTTCGTCTATTTTCATATTTTTAGTGTCTTTTTGAATCTTAACTTGATCCATTTTGAACACAACATGTCATCATGTTATTTTGATTGCTCAGTTTGCTGCCTGAGAAGAACTACTGATTTTATTCTCGTCTTAGGAAGTAATAGAAGAGTTCTATTGCCATTTTATTGGTTTAGTGTACTTAAATCTGAGCATTGGTAGCAAATTCTAGAGGATGTTTTATTGATATTTCTGAAGATCAAAATACATCAATAGCTATTGAGAGACTTGTATGAAGTTAAAAAAAAAAAAAAAAACTAAATTCATTAGGAGATTTTGAGAAATGCTATTCATCTGATGGGTTTGAGAAAAGAAAGTGCCCATGCCATCAAAATGAGCTACGAAGATTGTCTTGGCATTGTGATTGCATTTCATCTATGCTGCAAAATTGTGTACCAGGCAAGAGCAGGCATCAGATTGCGGGATTTTGTTGACATTTCTAGATTTCTTGCCCTGCTCTGCATACATGGCTTACTCGTTTATGGGTCAATCTTTGTGTTTCTGCAAGCTTCAAGTTCTTGTTGTAGACTGAAGTCTTATTGTCTCATGTTTTTGGTTTCTTCTATATAGTTCACAAGATTGGAAGGCAAAGCTAAAGATACCACCAGCTGATACGCGATACAGAACTGAGGTAGGGTTTTTTTAATCAGATATTTACTTGCTTGTGGTCATGGATGTTGTATTTTTCTGTCATATGTATGTTAATTTGTGTGATTACTATTGGCAAAGTTATTTTATTTGGAGCCTTGAGCAATGTTTCTCTCCTCTCTTGTGAGTTAGGAAACATTGTGTATTCAGCACCGGGCTGCAGGGAATAGTAAGTTTTTCCAGATGAGGAGCTGGGTCAATATTTCACTGGACTTGCATGGAAACTACAAATTATATAAGATGACTATGCAGTCTTACATCGACTTTTTATTGGGAGATTGATAATTAACTTAATGAAAAGTGCAAATAATGTGGGGTTAAAGTCAAAACTTGTCCCCCGTGTTTTGGCAGCTTCATCCAGTATTCCTTTTGAGTAAACTGATTAGTTTTGGCTTTAATAACATCTTCTGAATCTTCTCTGTTGCTTTTATGCATGAACCATAATGGATGCAAGTCCTTTACGTGTACATTTCTGGACTTAAACAACGATGCTGTAACCTTAGGCTGTCTTGTCTTAACAAGAGCTCTACACATGTAAAGAACATCCATCTGACTTCAATATTGTATGGCGAATTTGGAAATGGTTCAATGTTGTGGTCTGGCAGATCCTTTGTTTTTCTTCCACAGATCTACTGTCAAAGAACTGTGGAAGTACTGTCTCACAAATGAGCTGGTGAACATCATTTGTATCTGGGCACATTTTCAAGAAGGAAACATCTATATGAATCCTGTTTCACTTTTTAATATGTCTCGCAGGATGTGACAGCCACAAAAGGGAATGATTTTGAGGACTATTTCCTGAAGCGTGAGTTGCTTATGGGAATATATGAGAAGGGTTTTGAAAGACCATCTCCTATTCAGGAAGAGAGCATACCAATTGCCCTTACTGGTAGCGATATTCTTGCTAGAGCTAAAAATGGGACAGGGAAAACAGCTGCATTTTGCATTCCTGCGTTGGAAAAAATTGACCAAGATAACAATTTTATTCAAGGTCTGCTCTTCACAATCAATCAACTTCTTTATTTGCTATTTATATGCATGATTGGACTATGATAGCTTTACATCCTATAATCTGCTTTATTAGCTTTTGTATTGGGATATTTTCTGGTTGCATCTAATTTAATCAGTCTTAAGTTTGATCATGGAAAGATGAATGTATGTGTATGTTTAGTTGCTTGCAGAAGTGATAATGACTGCCAGTGGCTAGTGTGGTCCAGTGGCTAGTGTGGCATTTAGGAAAATGTTACTTGTAGGGTTTATGAAATGATAATAAAATGAGAAGATAGGAATATAACCACTACGATGGGGTTGGGATGATGTTTTGAGTGAGTAGTTCAGCTGCCTTTTTTTATGCAGCCTTAATATTAATTTCTTCAACAATGTCAAACATGAAATTATTTGTAGAGAGTTGACAAGTAGCTATATTTTGTAATGCTTGATTTATTTGAAGCTATTTAATGGTAATTCTCTGCTTCCAAATTAGTATTTATGAAAATTGAATTTGACTTAATGTATGCATTTGCATTCAGTTGTGATTCTCGTGCCAACACGTGAGTTGGCTCTTCAGACATCACAGGTTTGTAAGGAGCTTGGGAAACATTTGAAAATTCAAGTGATGGCCACCACTGGCGGTACAAGTTTAAAAGATGACATTATGCGTTTATATCAACCAGTCCATTTGCTTGTTGGGACTCCAGGAAGAATACTAGATCTTGCAAAAAAGGGTGTGTGCATCTTGAAAGATTGTTCAATGCTTGTTATGGACGAGGTAAACTCTAATCCAACTAGTCTCTCCAGTAATATAACTCGACCTGATAGTTTTTTGTGATAATTTTAGTTAACTTCCGTTTCTTTTGAACTTTTTAGGAGTTGTTGAAATAGGTATACTGATGAGTACAGGAGATTGGTTTAGGTTTCTTAAAGAACACAAGCTTTGTTTAGGTTGTGCACATAAGGTTGAAGGTTGTTGTTTTTTGAGAGAATTCATATTTTTGTGTGATAATTCATATCAGCCTGTTGGTTATTTAACATTTGAAAGATTCTTATCAGTTGGTTGAGAGAATTATTGACTGGCTGTTTTAAATGTTCAATTCATGTTTAAAGATTTGGATTTTTGCCGATAGTTGAGGGAAGTGATTTGTTCACTGTTTCAATTTGACTGAGATATTATTCGTCCCTCAGTATATTTTTTCCTTGAAAATGCATTTAAACTCAATTAACAAAGTTTATTTGTTTATTTTTCTTGTAAAAAAAAGCAAGATTTTTTTTTCTTCTTGGTACAGAAAGAAATTGACATGGCACTTTGAAGATTGAGAGCAAAGGGAGGGAGACAACAAAATTTGGGTCTTTTGTCCCTCCACGTGGGGATCTTGGGTATTGTAGAGAAGAGAAGGATGATGTGTTTGTTTGAGAGTTCTGCAAAATAAATGCTCTAAAACATAAATGAAAAATGACACCCCTTCTTTTTGTTTTTAATTTTTGAATATGATTAGGATGTTTTTTGTCCTGAAAAAAAAATGACCCAATTCTTTGTTATATATATAATTTGTAAATTATCTATCTTATAATTTCACTCAAATGTTACATATGTTAGCAGTATGATGATGTGTGTGTGTTCACTTTGAAAAGTGCTATTGGTTGTGTAATTTCATCGATTGCCTTTCTTGTAGTTTTTTAGGAAGAAATTTTCCCCATTTGCAAGGTGAAGGCTGCCAGCCAGCCACATCACATAACCTCCAATACCATTGATTGCTTCTTGCCTGATATGAAATAACTTGCTGATGTAACTATTATGAGCGCTATGCTCAAGTTAACTCTTTGAGGCACAAGCATCTGAATGTTACTTGCCTTTTATTCCTCAGGCCGATAAGCTTTTGTCTCCAGAGTTTCAACCTTCAATAGAGCAGCTTATTCGATTTCTTCCTTCAAATCGTCAGATTTTGATGTTTTCAGCCACATTTCCTGTTACTGTTAAGGACTTCAAAGATAGATATCTAGAGAAGCCTTATGTTATCAATCTCATGGATGAACTTACCCTCAAGGGTATTACACAATTTTATGCTTTCGTTGAAGAACGACAGAAAGTCCATTGCTTGAACACTCTTTTCTCTAAGGTCTGATCTCAACTAAACAGTTAATTCTTTATTCCTGTCTTCTTTGTGAATATGATGCCATGGTGGTCTATATGCAGCTGCAAATAAATCAATCGATCATCTTTTGCAACTCGGTGAATCGGGTTGAATTACTGGCCAAAAAGATCACAGAACTTGGCTATTCATGTTTCTATATCCATGCAAAGATGTTGCAAGACCATCGCAACAGAGTATTTCACGACTTCCGCAACGGTGCATGCAGGAATCTTGTCTGCACTGGTGCGTGTCACTTGTGTTCTTTGAAAACTTGAGTAGTTTTTCTTTTCGTTAGTTCGTTTAGTTTGCTTTTGTGAATCACATCAGCTGGTATTGCTACTATCCACCTTTTTATACACAATAATGATGATGGTTATCTGTTCCATCATATGAAGCTCTTAATTTGTCTCTCCAAGTTGGCAAGACTGAAGTCAAACTCAATTAAAATTGCTGACACAGCCCTTAAATAGTTGGGAGATATGAGAAAGTTCAATAAATAGATAACATTGCCGCAATAATAGCTTCTAGGAAATTTATAACAGATCAACTATGCAGAGTTATGTTGTGGGTAGTGCTAGCTTCTAACATAATTGTAATGTATTAACTCTAATAGCAGAAATAGTCAGCAAATCGAGATTTGTGAGTTATTAATGAAACTTGTGGAGAGAGGAAAAAAGAGGCAACCAAGGGAAGTAACGGCTTATTTCTTAGTTGTAAATGTGGGATTTTAGCTGTGTATCTTAGAGAGCTGTTACTTTAAACACAATAACCAAGCAAGTTTTATGTCTTCTCTGGCGATTTCTTTTTTTTTTTTTTTTTGTTGTAGTTGTAAAGTGTGCTTTGCATATACATCAAATAATGTCCTGACGGTATCCTTTTCTTGTTGCAGATCTTTTTACCAGGGGTATAGACATCCAAGCGGTGAATGTTGTTATAAACTTTGACTTTCCCAAGAATGCAGAAACATACCTTCACAGGGTATGTTGGATGCTATATTTTTCAATCAACACTGTGTTAAGACATTTTTGTGTTCTTACCTTTGTTTCATATGCAAGTTTTCAAGCAGCACTAAATCATTTTTTAAAATATTTACTTTTATTTATCCCACAGGTTGGTCGATCAGGAAGGTTTGGACACCTTGGTTTAGCTGTGAATTTGATCACATATGAGGACCGCTTTAACTTGTATGTATTTCTTCCTCTGCCTTCTACTCGAACTTTGCATCTGTTATTAGGGAGTTTCCTGACATATTTAATGTCTAATTATTTTTCTGCAGGTATAGGATTGAGCAGGAACTTGGGACTGAAATTAAACAAATTCCTCCGCATATCGATCAGGCAATATACTGCCGATAACCTGTGGTAGATGCCTCTCATTGCACTCAACAATGGTGAGTAGCAGCAGTGATTACCAATGGGTGAGTGACATCTGAAATGTTTTGTTTTCACCGAATCTCTTTGATTATTGATTCTATGATGTTTGCATTAAAAAGAAAGTAGAAAAGGAGGAAGATTGGCTTTGCCTAGATTATAAATTGAAGTAATGAATGCTAGATACAAATTACCAAAGTGATGTTTTTCTGTCAGAACAGAAAGCAATACTTCTCTGGAATATGGATTAGTTAATGCGTTGGATGGAATAATTAATTCTAAGTTGACTAGCTAGAAAGGTTTGGTACTTTGTAATTTGTGAGGTTACGTTGTTTCAAAAGGGAAGAATCTGTTATTATGAATTATAAGTTGTGATGTTACAAATCCTTGATATTTTATTTGATTATGGACTTGGTTGATATAGAATTTCATAAGAGCTTTGGACTGCCTCTTTTTCTGTGATAACAAACGAACTGGAGTTCTGGACTGCCTCTTTTTTTTTTTTTTTTTGTGGACTTCAAAATGATAAACCCAACAACGAACCCAATGAGAATTATTGATATTGTTGTCTTCGTTGTTGGGTTTATTATTTCGAAGTTTGACTTATTTTGCCCCTTAATGATTGAGTGAGAATGACATTTAGTTTGATGATGTTACAGGGTTCAAGCTGTCAATTCAAGATGGTATAGCTCTGCGTCTGAGGGCAACTACTAAGAACTAAGTATTATTGTTGGTGGAAGACTTAATGATTGCTGTATGCATTTAATCCTGGAATGCTTTAGTTGGTTTCTGGATGGAGTTTTTAACGGATTATGAAATCCCAGATAGATAGATGCTGGGTCCAGTTCTGATGTTGGGTTTGATTTCCTTAGCAGACTGGTTTCATATTATCTGCTCTTTAGTTTTCTTGCTGTTGAATGAAGGGTGTACTAAATGGAGATAGATCAGTTCCTCTGCGTTCGCACTCCTGTCTCATTAATAAAGTCATTAACTTAGAAAATACCGGGTTCTCCTTTTTTTCCCTACCATTTTAATTGTCATTCGTCAAACGGAAAAGCTGCTCTTTTTTTTTTTTTTTTTTGTGTGGTGGGGGGTTGTCCTATGATCGTTTCTTCTTGTTGAGTTTACTTGATTGCTCTATGCGACTGGCAGCCTACAATTCCTAGGTAAAAATATGTTACTGTCCAGTTTCAATTTTTATCATTGATTCAGAAGTAGCATGACAGCATTCCGGTTAGATTTATTTAACGAGTGCCTTTGCTGCTATATCATGCAATGGAATCATAACACCAAGACTATTTTCCCGTCCATGCTCTGTAATTTGTGCATTGCATCAAGCTAAGGTTTTTGCCGAATCATATTGTCCTTCCCACTCAGACTCGGGAACTAGATGGTTGGACTTAGCAAATCCTGTTGCTGTGAATTGATACAATCATATTGTCCTTGTAGAATGTTTTTTCTTCCACTCAAGGTACAAGGCAATGCAAAGGCTTAGCTTGTTGAATTGTGCCGAGAGTGGCGGCAATTGCCGGATTGCAAGCGCTAGTCTAAAGATGTGTTGAATGCTCTGAAGACTGAATTCAATGAAAATTTTCAAATTGAGGATTTTTGAGTATATCTTCAAGGGTTATTTATGATGAAAGAAGAAATATACGGGCAATTCAGATCTGCATTTATTTCTTTAGCAGGTTGCGTGTATTGGACCCACGGTTTATTTATTGCAAGGACTTGTGGGTGCAAAGTACTCTGCGTATAGCCGACATAATAAATGAAAGATTGATCACTTAATACGAAACCGTCTTTTAGCTCCGGTCATGGTGAAGATGTTGGGGAACTGCTAGTTTCATATCTTCTGTAATTTGTTGGGCACTGCAAAAGAATTTCTTAAACCTATGGAAGAGAGAGGGTCTTTATTGTTTCCTTTGGTTTTTATAAAAGTAGAAAGGCAAAACCGGAAGTATCAGTGTCTTCACCACCAAATACAAGTGTAATTCATGTTATTAATTACTAGGTTTGAAACTGCTTCAGGACACCAATAAACTCACTAGGTTTTACACTACAGCAAATGGCTAATTATTTGTATGCTATCTGTTTGTACCGCATAAAAAATGGATTTATATATATATATATATATATATATTTGTCCTTCCCATGCAGGTTAAGAAGGAATTAAATTTTCAATTTTTTTTAAAAATGTTATTATCCAAATTACAAGCTGAAACTGCAACTGTTAATGTGTGCCCTTAGGGAGTATGCTAAGGGAATGGCCAACGGACATTGAGAAGCATAATGAAAGCTAGTTGATCTCCGTTTATAAGTCCTTCAGTCCTTCCATCTTGTTTACCTTGTAGTGAAAATCTCAGCTTTTAACATCTAACATCTGAAAGTACAGAGCTCTGATTAATAGTTTGTTTGTAACAAAGGTCTCCTTGTTGAAGCTCAAAATGCTGGCTATCAAATGTTTGGAGTCTTCGACAGTTTGTTGTGTCACATTAAGATTTACTATCACTTATGATTTGACGTGAAAGAGGTCAGAATAAAAAGGACACTTCAAAGCGACATTTGAACATGGTTTGAATCTGATAATTTATGCAGCATCCACAGTAATAACAAGAAGACAGAAGATCATGCATCTATATATGCCAATCAATAAACATGTATAAGCCCAAGCATCCATGCATGTGAGAGACTATGCACTTGCGAATTTGTGGAAGATACACAGCAGGAGCTGTCAGTACAAAACCAGGGAGTCATCAACCTCAAACAGCAAATCCCATTGGAGTTTCTTTGACTTGTTGCTGACTGTATTTATTACAGTTGAATAGACTTGGCATACCGCCAATTTTGACATCTTTTAATTTACTTTTGCCAAATGCCATCCCTTTCAACATACAAACAAACCCAACAAGCGGTCATCATTTCCAATCTTGTTTTTTTTTTTTTTTTTTTCCAACTTATTTTATGGTTTATGGTAAGGTCAGAAACGTGTCACAGATTGATTATCATAGGTCCCAGATGCCCAAATTTAAATGCTATGCTATCAGATAACTCTTAAATTTTGTGTAAGAACGCAACAGAAAAAACTGAAACCCACAAAAATTGTAGTCTCTGCTAGTCTGCCAGCTAGCCTTTGCAAATAGGAAGAAGATGAAAGGGTGCCCTTATTTTTTTTATTTTATCTTCTTCCATTTTTTTTGTTTAGTGGCACCATGTCTGTTTTGTTAGTAGCTAGTTCTTATGTTACTTTGAATCTTGTGATCGAAAAGCAATTCTATCCTCAGCCGATTCGCACCATCATTCATCTTTCCTCCAAAATGTAATTGAAACTTGACATTTTATCCATCAAATGGACACATATTGCATTAATCCTTGGGGGAATGATGTGAATGGCATGTAGATGCCATAAATTGTAATATATATGATGGAGAGTTACTCCTACGATAATGTAGAGCTAAGTATTTTTCAACCTAAATAAAAAATAAGATAACCAGAGAGAGAGAGAGATGAAGTTATTGTAATATATAAATAGAAAAGAACTATTCTTTTTATATATGTAGTCTAAGATCTTAATTTGAACTTTTCAATAAGTACAGAGAAAAAGGAAAACAGGGAGAAAGAAAAGAAAAGAATGAGTATTACTTATATTTATTAACATGTATATTTGATTTTTTTTCCCATATTGACCCCAGAATATAGATGCTGAAAAATGGGTTGGAAAAAATCAGAGGTGAAATTTGTACTTTAGCAAAGAGTGCTGTAAGCACTTCCTAATAAAAAGGTGTCGCCATTTCACATTTATTTCTTTTCTTTTCCTTTTCTTTTATTTGTTTCCTTCTGAAATTTAATCCCCATACATTTATTTTCCTATATATTCATTCGTTCTTCGTAAGTTTGCATATTTTCTTATATTAATTTTTTTTATCTTTTAAGATATTCGAGACTTAAAACTTCGATTAATCTTTTATTATTTTGCTGAATATATAAAACGAGCCCGTAGAATAATTATTCGGAGAGTTTTTTCACATATAAAACAATTCTAATTCGAAATCATTTATTTAAATAATTATAATTCTTTTCATTGAGGTTAACTTTTTTTTGCTTATTTTCTGATATTAATTTGTTATGTTTCTAGAAATTAAAACGGAAAAAATTGTAAGTTAATTATATTTTACTTCAGTACGTACGTAGTATCTTTGTTTTGTTCCTTCTATCTGCAGAGAATATCTCTATTACAGTAAACATTCTAGAATCCTTCTTAATTAACTCTTTCATTTTAAAAGCAAAAACGAAAAAACTCACATTTTCCTTCTCCTTTTTCCAGTAAATGTTCTTTGAATCACAGGAACACAAATATTGAACCATGGGTGTCTACACCGCCATGCGCTAATTAAACTCCTTTTTTCTCACTGACCGAACAAACAATATTGTAATCCGGGTATGAAGATTTTACACTCGATCCTATATACTAATGATACTGAAATAAATCATGGTTCGTCCGTACAGTTCAGGTCATTGTCCAAGTGCCATTATTTCTCTCTTTCCCCATAAATTTTCTCTCTGTCAAGAATTCACCATTAATGCTTTCCCTTTCATCTTCACTGTAAGCCCCCTCTCTCTCTCGGCTGTTCTGTTCAATAAAAAATGTACGTCAAAAAAGGAAGAAAACCCTTTATTAATTAACCCCCTCCTCTCATTGTTTGTATTTGGTTCAATGATGATACAAGACCTCCCTCAAATGGGACAATACCTGTAATTGTCATGCATAAATACTTACACTTATATATACGTATATTTATTACGTTGCCAGCTTGAAACTTGCCGATGGTCCTTTCTTGCACAACCCACAGTAAATTATCACTTTCGAATTCCCTAGAGAAGATCACTCTAGCATTTAATTTATAGCTTCTCTCTCACTCTCTCTCTCTAAACTCCTTAAACTCTCTACTACAAAGCTTTTTTCTCTTTGAAAAAGCTTGTCTGTGGATGTGTGTGAACTTAATTTAGAGGCACTTGCTTTTGTTTTTTTGTTTCTTGTTCTTTTTTCATTCATGGTAAATTAAAAGTTAGCTAGCTTTTGTTGGAACATTGTTGTTGTTGTGATAAAATCGAAGTGAAGGATTGATAAAGGAGATGGGGAGGACACCTTGTTGTGATAAGAAGGGTTTGAAGAAAGGGCCATGGACACCTGAAGAAGATGAGCTTCTTGTTAGCTACATCAAGAAGAATGGACATGGTAGCTGGCGCTCTCTTCCCAAGCTTGCAGGTACTTATATTGTTAATATTTTTTTTGAAAGATAAAGTTGCATGATCTTATTTTGTTGCTTTCATGGAGTTAGATGTCACCAGCTTGAAAAGTGCAGATAATTTTTTGCACATATTGGGTGAAATATATAGAATATTTGTCGGACTTGGATCGTATTATTATTCTGGTCGGGTAAAAGGCTTTGAATACTCAAGTGGTTAAAAGCTACTAGCTACTTAACAGTATTCTATTATTTCCTGATGAATTGATTTTGTTGCTGTTTACTATGCAATGTTTGTCTGGATGTTCACAACCGGGTGGAAATTGATTGCTTCACGACTGTTTCCTACTCAAACTAAAGTTTTCTTGATAGTTTTTCGTTTTTTGTTTGTTTTTATTTTAATGTCTGGATCTACGTTGCCAACTCCCTTGACTGTTACGTGGATGTTTTCAGTGGTGCTGTTGATTGGAAATCTGCCCTCTTCCAAAAGGAGATTGACCATTCAGATATTTTCTTTCTTTCTTGAAAATTTAGTTTTCTGTGCTTGAATTTCCCGCTTGATGAAACAGATCTGCAAAAATAATGAGTCCCTTGTAACTATTTTCTTTGTTTTGCAGGTCTTCTTCGCTGTGGAAAGAGTTGTAGGCTTAGATGGACAAACTATCTTCGGCCGGATATAAAACGGGGTCCTTTTACTCTTGAGGAGGAGAAGCTTGTCATCCAGCTTCATGGCATCCTTGGAAACAGGTACATTCTAGCTATATGAAAATTGAGAATATTGCGGTAAGGAATTCATAATTTTGAAGGACCAAAGTGTCATCAATTGATTGATTTCTCTTAACAAAGCATTAGGATTGTGACTACATATAGTGTATGTAACGTAGCACTTCTTGGTTAACCAATTCTCTAAATATAGCTAAATTACATCCTTTGAACTCTTACAACTTTTTTTTGAGCTGATTTCCCCCCTTATGGATGTATGCGTATATACATCCACTAACTAGGATGAGCAAACAATCTTCATAACCAGCCTCTTTCTTGTGTTCTGTATTTCCATTGAACCACTTGGATTTGTAAGCAAACTCAGGCCTAATTACTTTGCTGAATGGTCATTTTTGAAAGAAAGTGGCTATAATTGTTTCAGAAAGGAAACATTTAGCAGTTTTGTGTAGGGGCAACATCAAAAATTTGTAATTGCTTATGGAAAGTATTACGAATTCAACAGTGAGTCGAACTGCATTTAGTCAATATGTTTCTGTTGTTCATGCAAATGGGGCAATTGGATCTTGGAATTCTTCTTTCTTTTCAGTGAGTTTGGTTGCTTATGTGTTATGCAGTTTATAATTAACTCTTGCAAGTGCTACATCAATGACTTTCAGGTGGGCGGCCATTGCCTCTCAACTACCAGGCAGAACAGATAATGAGATCAAGAATTTGTGGAATACCCACCTGAAGAAGCGCCTTCTTTGCTTGGGACTTGATCCCCAAACTCACGAGCCCTTTACATCCTGTGGACCAGCCATTAAAGGACCTGCATCCCCAGCTACTCGACATATGACGCAATGGGAGAGTGCTCGGCTTGAAGCTGAGGCACGCCTTTCAAGGGAGTCCTCACTCTTCCTTCCACCGATTCCAGGAAAAGTTGATTGTGATTATTTTCTGCGCATATGGAACTCTGAAGTTGGAGAATCTTTTCGAAGGATCAACATGGGAGATATTAAAACTGCATGCCAAAGTCCAGTTTCTCAGGCCTCTTCCTCGACAAAATGTGGATCAATTTCAGCTATCACTGCTGATATTAGCCCCAACTTAGCAGGGTCCTCTGGTGCTGCAAGCAATCAAAATGAAGATGTGGAGTGCAAGAGCTGCAAATCCTACGCAGAAGATGCCATGGCTGGGTCTGATTTATCAAGTTCAGCTGAATTGGAAGATTCAACAGACTCAACATTACAACTTCTGCTGGACTTCCCCATTAACAACGACATGAGCTTCTTAGAAGGAACTATAGACAGCTATGCCACTTCATCTGCAATGCTGACTGGAACCTCCATGATCTGCCCCCTGTGAAGCATCCATGAAAATGTTGCTGTGTATAATGAATCTATTTTCTAGGATTTTGATATGCTCTTTTTTGGCGCTACAAGCTGTGAATCTAGTGTAAGAGCGAAGAAACTTGTGAGCTATGCCGGCAGCAATTGTGGGTAGTTTTTCAGCCTACAGTTAGAGATGGTGATGTTAGCATTTCCTTTATTCCTAGCTGTATTTACTTTACTAGTACCCTGCTAATTATATACAGGAGATACATATTCTTTGCGACCTAAACTACCAGGTTTAATTCGCAAATATTCTATAATATGTAATGCTAAAATCAACTCTCCGGGATAATCGATTCTGCTTATTCATTAGAAGTTTGTCTGCGCCAAGTTACGAACTTCCGAGTCTGTGTTGTGAAGATAGTGGCAGAATTATGTCAAAGCAATTTTGGATTCGATAATATTCAGTTGGGTGGAAACTATACCATTTAGGCATCAGCAGTAGATGCTAGCCCGTCACTGCCAGAGCAATATGGGAAGATTAGTAGTTTAGTTCCGAAATGGAAGAATACTGCAGAAGGATCAAAACACCCCCTTGCGATTTTGTATAAACGTAGTTGTAGTGGTATAAATGATTCTGAAACCATCTTAGTAAATCAATAATAGCTTATAGTCACCAAACATAAGGAAATTGTCTTATTGTTACTTCTCATCGGTCGTTAGCTTTCATACGATATGGAAAAATAGAAAAAGCAAGTAAATGTTTGCGACAAGGCAACTTCACTACTATGCCAAGAGAAGCCGACTTTACAAACATGTTGAACTTGTTTCTTATAGATCAAATATTGTATCCCTATACATATACACACTGAATATTTAAACTTGCTGATGTTTAATGAAAGAAGACATAAACTATGTGGGGGGGGGGGGGGGGGGGGGTTGGAAACAAACAAGAAAAGCATTACGATTAAAACAAGGAATTACAAACACTATATGCAGAGGAAGACTGGAGATTGAACTTGCTGCTTCCATGCTAGGCTCTTAAAGTTGCAGCTTCAGAAGCAACCAAGGAGCTTCTTCGGGGTTTGCCCAGTAGCACGATATTTTGCAGCCATCTCCTCTGCCTTTAAGAGTTCTTCTCCACGTTTGGCTTCAACCATGGCTCTCTTTTCTTCAGCTTCCTTATGAATTAAAGCAACCTTGTTTTTCATTTTCTCCGCATATTCTGACTTTTGCTTCTCCAATTTTTCCTGTCAGTTCTTTAATTTGTTAATCTCGAATCCGAAATGCTAAAAGAGCTATATTATAAGCAGAAGGAAAGTATTCCCTTCAATTTGTTAATTTTAAACTCTATCATCCTGAGATTGTTACAAGGACATTATAATCGAGGGGGAGAGCTTGTCAATCACTTGGAACACTAAGCATACCGATTGGATCTACCAGAGAGGATTAAATTATTGATGCACCATAATATGAAAAGGATTCCAGAAATGAACAAAGAAACAAGATGACAAAGAGTTCAGTTACCTCAATCTTTCTCAGTTGGGCTTCCAGAGCAGCCTTTTTGCTGCTCTCCCATGCAGCAACATCGGAGAGCTTTTTCTGAGACCTGTAATCAGTTGTAGCGCATTGCAAATGGTCAGCAATCAACTTCGTCCAGATCATTTGGAAAATTGAAAAAAAGTTACAGTATCCCTCAAAGTTTATCATACCAGAAAAGATATGGTTAATTGTTCAATGCACAAGTTCGGTTCCAATTCTTAAACTTTCAGTATTCTTGAGTCAAATAGAGAACTTATTCTTTGTTATACATAGAATGTGTTTCAAAATCCATATTGGAGTAGGAATAGAGGTCTAAATGTTCTTATAAGAAGTTTTCTTAATGGGCTTAAATGAAGCAGTAGAGAGGAAACTCCACTATGTGCACAGACCAAGCAAAGTCCAATTCCTATCATCTTCTTTTGAAAGCACTGCTAACAGATTTGTTTGTTTTATTATAGTAGCACTGCTGTACACTGAAAACAGAGAAAGAGAGAGACAAGAAAACCTTACTTGTTCTCCGCTTTAGTTTTCTCGCTGTCTTCCCATGCCTTGATAAAGGACAATCTCTTTTCTTTTTCAAGGTCAGCAAGAGCTACATCTGAAAAACAAAAAAAAATCAAAGTTTAGGTTATTACTAGGGAAAAATAAAACCTATGCACCCTTAGCAAAATGACTTTCTTAATTGAACTGCTCAGGAAGTTAACAAACACACGCACACAAAATTGAAACTGCATTTACATGTACATCACATCAATCACTGAAGAGATTAGAGACAACATCATGTGAAGGTCTTGATGCGTGTAAAAAGTTCCCAAAAAGATGACAATGGACAAAAACGGGACAGAATCCCTCAGCGCATATAAGAAAATTCAAAAACAGATATAGAATCATTCATTTTACTGCTCCATTATTCTTTATGACTACCATTTTATGGAAGATGGGAAACAGGACCAAGTAGAATAGTGACAACAACAAGTACCTCTGTCAATTGATCCGCCTGAAATCTTCTTTGGAGCAGGTTCTATCTCTGCCAAATACAGAAAATAATTAGAAGCAGCTAAACAGTTTACATGGTTGGTAAAATTAGGTTATTGAGGATGTGATTCATATAGAAAAGAAAATATGTTCATCGCCAACACCCTTTATTAGTTCCAATACAAGCAATACACACAATAATGAAATTAAAAAAAAAAAAAAAAAAAAAGGACAAAGCAACAGGGTTTAGACCTCGCAGTCAATCCTGGGATACAATGAAGTCATGAAATGTACTCTAACACCTTAATTGGTACATAAGAAGTGCTTAACATCACCTATATTGATTCATCGTTAATCATATTCTAGCTTGTTCCAACAGCAAAGGCAACATCACTTTTGACATATACAGTAAGAATGAAAGGGGGCTGTTTTTCTTAAATGATCATTATCGAATACGATATTAATTCTTTCAAAAGGAAACAGTAAAAAGATTAATGAGAAAAGCATATATAATCCAAAAGGGTCACAGCAGACAACAACATTGATGCAAAAACAGTCTGCCATGATTCGGTTTAGTTTTGCAATTTTCACATGGGAAAGTGGAGGTCCTATTTCAGAGCCTAGAATTGCATGATTGGTGTTACTAAAGCAGCCATCATATTCATATATGCCTTTACGAAGCCATATAAAAGCATAAAACTATTTATAGTATATCGAACCCAATTAGTTCCTTTTTGGGTGTCGTAATACCATAGATATGGACAGCATCTATATATACTAAAAAAATAAAAGCCAAGGGTGCCGTTGTGCTAAGTAGGGACTCTGTTCCTACTAAAAAAATGTTTGTAGATGCCATTATCTAAGTAGGGTCTCTTTGTCCAAAGAAAGTTGCATCTTATTATGCCATTTTGCTAAGCAGGGACTATCTCCACCAAAGAGGAAAATAATTGAGCAAGCATCCTTGCAAGGTTGTATTGACATAACAACAGCTAATATTATGAGATAGAGGGAACAAACAGTCAAACGTCATAAAACCTTTGAATTATACAAGTACATGACAGCAAAAGAAATATGCTCATCCACTAAAATATCCAGTGCATAGAGCTTAATTGTTTTGCTTTCATAAAGTCTTCAAAATCAAGACACGAATTTCTATAAATAGATAAATAAATAATAAAATCAAGATACGAAAATGATATAGCCAGGATTGCATTGGATAAATAAAAGATCGGCTCTCTTTAAAAAGAAAGGTTCTCCTTTTAAAATATTCAATCTTGAAAAATTAGTATTGATCTCCTTTTAAATATTCAATCTTGAAAAATTTGTAGTGATCTTTTTTCTTTTCTTTTTCTTCTTTTTGAGATTAATGATTGATTAGCTGACAAAGGTGGGACTCAAGCTCGAAGCCTTGCTCTTTTGATTCATAAAGTATAGATGAGCTTCAATCCCGTCCTGTCTTTGATACATTAAGCAACTAAAATTGATTTGTAAAAAAAATAAATGCCACATATATCTAGAAATGTTTACTTGCAATTTTTCTTTTCTTACGAGAGAGAGAGAGAGATTAAGGGGGAGATACCTTCCCAAAACAGAGGGGAAAAGTAAAAACTATATATAGTGGTAATTTTCTGCATTCATTCAGATATAGCCATGAGAAGAAAGAAAAATGAGAATTGGAAATTGGTTGAATTCTTTCTCAAAAGAAAAAAATTCGAGTCAATATCATACTAATTATGCTAACTTCTCATCACAAAATCAATAAAATTAAGACTAACAAGTTCAGCCATTTCCAGTCCAACCTCACTAAAAAATCCTAATCACGTCATCATTTCAAGGGATAATGAAAATGGGTTTTGGTTTCTCATAATCTTCCAGGAAAAAAAAAGCGAGGAACTTACTTTCAACAACAGCAAGAGCTTTTGATTCATCAGCGACAGTAGCTGCCTTCTCTTTCTCTGCAGCTGCTGGTGGTGGAACCTTAATTTTCTCATCCGCCACATCACTTTTAGTTTTCACCGGAGCTGGAGCTGGAGCCGCCGGCGTTTCAGCTTCTACCTTCTTCACTTCCTGCTCAGCCATTCCTTTTCCTTGTCACCTTCTCTTCAACTACAACAGTTACTTGAAAATCTCTCACTTTGGCGACGTCAATAATGTTTTCTCGTGCACTTTATAGCTCCAAACAACGTGTGTCGCATCAACGCGGATAATTTTACTCTTCAGTTGTCAACCGTTAAATTAGAATACAAAACAAGAGGTTTTTTTAATCTGACGGTGAATATGTAAAGAGGCCCTAAAGAAGGGATTCGCGTATGAAGCGTGGAATACTATGCTTTATGCCGACAGGTAAAACAGGTAGCAAGCACCACGTACAAGGAGGGTGTCGGCATGAATACGACGACGTAAAATTTATAAATACAAAATTGGTCGAAACGATTTGTCTGTAGAAGTGGGGCCAATTTAAAGGATAAACTTGACTACGTAGATTGAAAAACAGAGGGAAATGGGGTCTCTCACCCGCTCGCTCACTCCCTCCCCTATGCTATTGTCATCGGTTTTGCTTCCAATAATTTTATTGGGACCCAAGAAACCACCCTTATTTATTTTAATGGGATACTTAATTTATTGCATGCATGAATGCTCACAATGGAAAAAATAGATATATGCTTCGTGATCATAAACTTCAGAACTTCTGTTGATGATATTTGATGAATTGTTTAAATACGTGTACTCAAGTAAATGTCAATAGCATAGTTTTCAATAATTATTACATAATAGTTATGAAATATTTTATTATTATTATTATTTTCATATTATAATAAATTATGATTCGTATTAATAATTACAATCGTTTTATCTATTACTCGCAATTTAAAATCATGTTCTCTAATATCGTTGTATTTTGTGTTGTTGGCATTTGCTGACTCATTAAATCCAGTGTGGACAAAATCTGGTCTAAAAGTTCTTTTTATTTTTTTGGTGTATCTTGCAAATAGCATATGAGTGGCTGTTATTGATAAAATTAAAGTATTAATCACCACAAATCGAAGTATTTCTCCTCGTAGATTGCGGTATGTCATAGTCCGGTGATTCCTAAAAGCATGTTTCCGTTTCACTCCCTGATTACTGCCGTTTCTCATTGTTACCAACAATTTGCAGCAGATACCTGCTGGGCTGGCGAGCATGTGAGACATGGGACCCATTATTTGGGCGGTTGCTTGAAACTGCCTGTCATGTGGAGGGTTTTGCTGATGAGTGATGACTAACTGGGAAAACACATTAGCACACCCCAGATCACCTGTTCGCATTGAATCTGCTTTTGAAGAAGGACAGAGATGTTTGCATGTCCCACTCCTTGTCATACCTAATCATCTTCGCTTTATTGCATTCTTAACGATTGTCCGACGCAGTATTATAATCACTTTTTTATATATAATTTTTTAGTTTATTTTATTTTATCCCTTGAAGTATATAAGCTCTATTAATTTCTATTTAAATTTGTATTCTATATTAGTTATTTCTTGAAATTTCGACCATTTATAAAATATATCCTTCCATCTATATATATTAACAAAACTAACGAAAAATAAATTTTTTATTGTGTAAACTTCAATTCTTCCTCCCTTCAAAATATAGATAGTTTATCAATTAACTCTCTAAATTGTTTTTAAAAACACATTCATTTATATATACATATTGAAAAAAAATCACTTTCAAATTAGAAATATATATATATATATATATGAATTTTAATCAATAAAAAAATAAAAAACAAAATTCACTTAAGTTTTTTTATAAAGTTCAACTCGCTAAAATCATCAAATATACGACCTTAATTTAAAAGTTAGTCGCTAAAATTTTTATTTATTAGTGATTTAAAAAAAAAGTCAAAAAATCAACATGCTAAATATACTAATTTTATTTGATTTGCATTAAATCTTTTTTTAATCTTTTTTGTTCGTTCTATAAATTAAATTATCATATATCTAGTTTTTCTATTCTCTCATCTTGGGGTAGTTTGGTGCTATCAATTTACTTGAATTGTCAAAAAAAAAAAAAAAAAGTACGTCCAAATTTTGTTTTTATTTTTCTAGAATAAAATTAAATGAACTATATGTGTATTTTTTTTTTATCAATTCACTTTAAAGTGCATTTGAATTTTTATTCTTTGTTGTTTTATGTTTTTGTTGATTAAATATTGTTAAAATATTTTAGTAAATTTAGCTCTGTTTTTTTTATTACTAAATTTCACATTTATTATCATCTTTGTGCTCTTGTTGTTAACTGGATTTATTTTCAAATCAAATTTTTATATGTATCTTATAATGAAAATGTAAAAAAAGTTTTTTTTTCAAAATTTAATTGAAAAAACTATCTATGGTTTTGAGAGGGAAATTGAAGTTTATGAAGTACAAATGTATATTCCGTTATTTTTTCCTAACGTATGTGAACGGAAAGGCCTTATTGATAATTGTTAAAACATGAAAAGGTGATTGGCAGGGAAAAAAAAAACTTTTTGAAAGAATTTGATACAACCATACACTTCAAAGGGGTCAAATGAAATCAAGCATTTTTTTTTTAATCTAACAGTTTTATGTTGGGTAACTTCAGTTAGTCAGCAATTTATAACCATTTTTTTCTAATTGAATCCCTAACCTATGTATATATATATATATATATATTTTACGAATTCGCTCTCCAATGTATCCAAGCATCCTTTACTTGTATCCCTTCTTCAGAAATCGTGCCCAAGTATTTTATCAATGGTCCCCAACTTCTAGGCAATGGTAGGCATATTTATTGAAGGACAGGATCAATTTGAGGATTCCTTGATACATTAGGGACTGAATCTGGTGAAATAAATAGTTCTGAGACCTGATTGAGAAAAGGTCATTGGTCAGGGACTAATTTGAAGATATTCCTTTTCTATATTTCTCTCTTGTAACTCATGAGATACCCCTACATGAGTCGACCAAAATAGTATAGTTCTATAAATTAAGTCAGTGTAGACTAACTTAAGGCTAATCGGTTAACTTGAGTACAAATGAAAGGAATTACAATGGTGGAAAATAGAAGATAAATAAATAACAATTGACACATGTTCAATATATATATATATATATTGTCAAAAGAGTAATGGCATTGGGTTTCGGTCGATTGGACATGAGCGCATCAAAGAGACTTTCTGCACTGTACAGTCCCACTCCGAACACGTTAGCCCATGGTTTAGCCCGACAAACCAGAATTAGAACGTTGCTCCTCGCCTCGTATTGTTGTTGTGATCGAGGATACTCCACGTGAGCTATTGTAATTTGGCCAATTTCCCCTTTTACCCACGGATAAAACAAAAAAGAAAAACGGATACGAATTCTTCTCATTCCAACCTAAGAATTAAAATTCTACCAAATAAAGTTTTGAATTTAAAGCCTTTGATGGTTTAACGCAACCGATGATAGAGTAAAAAACTAAGTTGACCAACAAAGACCAAATTATAGTTAGCACATTTATTGTGATGCCTTGGGATTCGAGAAACCAAATCCATGTCTCTTTTTTTCCATTGCTGAGGGATACCCGCAGGTTTTTTAACTAATTTAACTATTTGTACTTCGATTGATGCATTTATAATAAGAATTTCTATCTTGCATTTTTTTCTAATATTCCTTCATGTTTTAGAGTGGACAAAAAAAAAAAAAAAAAAACAATTATCAATCAAATCTTTATACATTGATCATGGCTGGTCAACTCAATATGATTGAGTTAGAAAACTCATCAATTATTTGACAAACATGAAAAAAAAAATCTGTATTTATAAAAGAATATAAGTTTATTGATCAAAAAACTTTTTTTTTTGGATTGTCGCTGATAATTTAAATAACCATTGACAATAGCTACTTAATATTTTTCTTATTTTTTATTTATTTTTAGTTTTTTCTTGATAATTCAGATCTATTTTTTTAGATCTGATGTTTCCAGAGTCCAAATAATTATTAATTTAGATTTGTAACAAAGACATTAAAATAAAACTTTCGGTTTCTGTTCATGCAATTGTTCACACAGACTCAAGTTACTGTGAATTCACTGTTTACAGAACCTTTCTTCGTTTTGCTTTTCTTTTTCCTCGGTTCTTTTTTCTTGCTGTCTTCTTTCTTAAGCTGCAGCTGTCTTCTTTTCCGTTTTTTTTGCCCCTTGCTTCTTATTTAATTTTTCTTTTTGTCATTAAGTGGTTTTTTATTATTTCTTTACCCTCTTTTCCTTCTCTTTCCTCCGATTTTTTTGGTTCTTTTTCGACATTTCCTTTTCATCTTCAACCTAAGCATTTAATGCTCAGCCATCTTGAATGTTCATCTGTATGCATCCTCATCGATTTCTTTATTTAATTTACACAAGGCTTTGTCTCTTGTCGAGGAAAAATCTTCAATTCATTGGGTTTTTCTTCCCTCTTCCTTCTATTTTTGCCTAAATATTTATGTTGTCATTGAAATTGAACTATTTCGATTTATGAACAAAATCATCTCAAACGAAACTAAAAAATACTATGCGCAACATTATTTACCACCTCACATGACATTATTTATTGACGGTAGATGGAGCAGTTATATTTTTATGAATTTCATAAATTTTTGGGAGGATTTTCGTTAATTTGCACCTTTTTGACATTTTATTTGCTGCCTTCTGCACTATTCATTACTCTACAAAAAAACTCTTTCACGTACAATGTTTTGCAAAGATTGCATTTTGATTCATAATATTTGGGTTTTGAAATAAAATTTAGAACAAAATTATTTGAAAGAAAAAATTGATATAATTTAGATAATTGATTTTTATAATTTTTTAATTATAGTAGCATGATATATAATTTGTTTAATATATATTTTTTTATTAAAAATGTGTTTAAGATAATTTGTCTCAACTTTTTTATAAATAATTTTTAAAACAGTTAATTAATTATTGAAAGTCAAATATAGGAAAGAAAGAAAAAAAGATAATTGCTATGAGTATGAAGCTTGTGCAAAGAAACTGGCCATGCATGTCTTAGAAATAAAAAAAATTTTAAGGAAAAAAAGAGAGGAGTTTAAGTGTTTTATTTGGTTCTTCTATGTATAATAAAAATTTATCAAAATTACTTTTTAATTAGTTTTATTTTAGTCTATAAATTTTAAATTTATTCAATATATTTCTTATAAGTTAATTTTTTTTAATATCTTTTGTTTTATATTATAGACTTTAAATCCACTCAAGTATATTTATAATGTATATATATATAAAAATTGAATTGTTAGTTTTTATAAAAAACAAATTTGCAACTAGCAAAACACTAAGCATTTACTATTTATTTATTTTTAGATACTTTAAACTAATTTCTTTCAAATTAAATATATGAAATTACGTTTTTGTATAACTATCTAAGGATTCAAATATAGTTTTTTTTATTTTAATATTATTGATTTTTTTAATAAATATATAAAAATCAAGTATACATACTTTCAAAAACTAATATTCTCATCAATATCGAATAAAAAAATTTATTTGTTTATTTTTATGCCAGTTTTTATATTATTTATTGCTTTTTTTAACACAATATTATGAAATATTAAGGTTTTTTTAATTATATTTTGAATTCATTTCTCTTTTTGTTTTAGAATCCATGGATAAAGAAGTTTTTTTTGACACGATATTAAGAAATACTAAGGTTTTTTTTTCACATATATATTTTGTATTGAATTCTTTTTTTTTAAAAAAAAAAGGATCCATGAATAAAGCGAGAATTAATCATTTTTTTAAGTAGAAAAAAATATTAAAAACACATAGAAAAAATAATTAAATATAAAATTTTGATTAAAATATTCTAAAATTGGATTTTTTTTTTTTTTAACCTTAGATTCATATATATTTTTATGGAAACATGTCGGAATATAACATGAATCATTAAACTAATATGATTTTTCAAATGATTTTACATGTTCTATCAAATCTTGTGGCATAATACGAGCAAAAAAACCTAGTTATCCAATAAACTAAAGTAAAATGGTTTTTGACTATAGTAATAAACATTGTTAATCATTGCTCATCGCTACGGTGCTTTGGTTTTTTTTTTTTTAATTTTTTTTTTGGCTAGCGCTGGCCTTCTTTTCTTTTTCTTTTTTTTCGTTTATTGTTCATATGAACGAGTAATCGACTTCCCCTCTCTTTTTTTTCCTTTCTAAACACTAAATTTTTTTTTTAAATTTCCATCTGTTTATTGTTCACATGAATAGTAAACGTTGCCCCCGTTTTTTTTTCCTAAGAATTATTTTTTTTTAATTTTTGTTTCTTAATAATATTGGTTGTTAAAATTTTAAAGGAACCAAAAATTAATTGGGTGTTAAAATTTTAAAGAAACTAATAATTTATTTCCTTTATTATTTATTTCTAAAATTTTAAAACACAAATAAAAAATAGTTAAATACAATTTTTTATTAAAAAATTATAATTATTTTTTACCATAAATAAATTATTAAACTGAAATTAATTGGGTGTTAAAATTTTAAAGAAACCAATAATTTATTTCCTTTATTGTAAAATTTAAAAACATAAATAAAAAATAGTTAAATATAATTTTTTTGATTAAAAAATTATAATTATTTTTTACCATAAAATAGATTATTAAACTAAAATAATTTTTCTAAATGATTTTATATGTTTTATCCAATTCGTAACATAGCGTGGGTAAAAAATCTAGTATGATCTAAAATATGTGATTTTATTTGGTTTGTTATTCTTGATATATAATGTTCTTTGTTATTGATTTTTGTCGACCAATTGTTCGTTCAAAGATTTGTGGTGGATCGAATCATAGAATTACACTCTCAAACGAATTTCAAGTAATATAATTGTTGTATCTATCAATAAAATGAGATTTCAATACCTTATTGTAGACATATTAGTTTCGTTGATGAACCTAGCGAGTGCAACCTCGTTCTCTCATTAATAAGTGGTGATAGAAGATTCTTGAATTCGAAAAAACATTAAAAAAAAAAACCATCGCCAATAACCTAATAACACTAATAAAAAAAACCTCTTGGAAGTCCATTAAATTGAGAAGATGATATGCTACTCGAAAGGTTAATAATTTATGTTTTAGTGAGTAAGTCTTTTTTCACTTAATTATAATGATTATGATGTTTTGAAGTTTTCTATTTCATTCTTATAAAAATTATAATGACTACGTATTACTTTTAATATTAATAAAATTATACTTTTCTATAAAAAATTTATTTATTAAAAAAAATTAACTCAAATATTTTTGTAATCATCTCGATGATGTAATTGTTTTGTCTCGCATAGGATTTATTATCAATTGGACTTTATGGTTCAATAATGAAGAACTAATGTACAATGTGTCCCATTGTTAAACGCTTAATGTCAATTCCACCGAAAAGGGGGCTTCATGTCACCGGTTCAAAGGGTTTCTACCAACTAGAGTTATTAAACTCGGTTAGGACAATATCCTGATCAAACTACTAGGTCATCGAGTCTCCCGTTCTGCCAATGGATACTATTCTAACAACTGGGTCAATTATATTATAATATAAACATATCTTGTAACATACGAAGCATAAAAAAAATGATGAAGTGAGAGTTAGTTTTTTTTTTTTTTTTTTTTTTTTATTTTAAGATAAGGGTATCAAGTTCAAGCTTCACCAATTACAAAATTTATTTTATTTTTAACCGGTCAGTGTTTGACCAAATATCCAACTAGCTAGGTTTTATTTTTTATTTATTATTTTTTGGCCGGGTTTGATCAGTCCATTACAGGCTTTTGTATTTAATGTCAATCTAGATCTATTAGGTAGCCAGCTCCCCATCTTTGCGGTCAGACCATTCAGTTCATTTTAGATTTAATAACACTGTTGCTGACTATTTTTAACACTTTTGTGGTTGATTTTTGCTTGGTTTGTTCTTCGGCTATACTGAATGTTACTTGTTTAAGTTAATTATATTAGATTATAGAACTTGAGAGTGATTTTTCAGGCTAACTATATCGTGGATTGAATTATCCAGTAATATTTAAGGCTTTTACTTGAAGTAATCGTCAATTATGATATTTTGCATTAAGAAAAAACTTTCCTTAATTTAAACTGAAGTTTTTTTTAAAATTTTTTTTCCTACTATAGGTATAACTAATGGTTAGATGTTAGTATTAGAATAGAAGAGAAGCCAAGCTTAATATTCGATGGCTGGAGATTAATCTGATAGCAAGGATGAAAGGCTTCTTTCGACCACTTTTTACATGGAATGTTAACAGAGAAGCAAGTTAGAAGTATTCAAACTCTTCACAAAATTTTTATTATCAAATGACGTGACGTTTGTAATAAGAAAAGTTTTCTTAAACCATGAAATGTGAATTTTATCATCTTTAATAGCATAAACTAAAATTACACGAGAAAATAACTAATTATAAACTGCCATATCTTCCAGTAAGAAAAAATTTGCAAAAAGTTTCAGTATTCTTAACTTTTAATGTATCACTCCGAGATTATGAACTAATCAATTATAAAAAATTGTATAGCGTAACAAAATGGTATTAAAGCCAGGTTGGAAACTACTTGCACCACCTAGGATTCTGAATTGTGATTGTGGCGCGATAGGACACTGCACGTTTGAAAGTAAAAGATGGTGATGATTAATGGTTTTATACGTAATAAAAAATTCTTTTTGAACATCAAAGACAATAGAACCAGTTCAGTGTTACGCTTGTAAATCCAGAGACCGTCTTCTTCCACCGCAATTAATAAAACCCTGTTCTGTATATCGTCCTTATAATGTCAAAATAGAATTGGTGTCGTTGTCGTTGTTTACCTAACAACGGGTCATTCAGGATCTTATCAAAACGACGACATATCGAAAAACAAACTCGCCACACTCTGTTTGGCTACTGGGGTAAAACCCGGGAAAAGCCAGTGGAAGAATTTCCTGAGCTCCAAATTAGAACTTCCAATCGTCAAAACCCTAAAAAGGCAAATCACAAATTCACCCTCTAATTTTACTGAAATAGGAACCATGAACTCTCACTTTCCAAATTCAAGTTCTTCAACAGAGAAACAATGGGGAGAGAAAGTATCAGAGAAAGTAATATCAGCATACAAATCTCTCCCCAAAAAAGGAAAGCCTCAAGGTCGCGAAGTCACCGTCTTAGCTTCATTTCTCCTTTCCTCTCCTTCTCAAGGTCACTAAACGATACGTCCACCCCCCCCCCCCTCCCTCTCCCCATTTTTATAAAATTTCTTTCTGATTTGTATTTACTTGTTTTCAGAGTTGGAAGTTGTTGCGTTGGGGACTGGTACGAAATGCGTTGGACGTTCACTGCTGAGTAACCGTGGTGATATTGTTAATGATTCCCATGCTGAAATTATTGCTAGAAGAGCGTTAATCAGGTTTATCGTCGTATTAGGTGAATTAATACGTTTTTTTCTGTATGCTGAAATGATTTTTTTTCCCTATAAAATCAATGAATGGCTGAATTTTTTTTCTTTTTTTTAAAATAATTGAATCAGGTTTTTCTATGCGGAGATTCTACACGTTATTCCTGATTTATATGAGAATGAATGTAATAATGGAAGCAAAGAAGTGAAAATTGGTGATGCTAGTAACGTGATTTTTGAACTGGAACTGGATGGTTGTAGCGAAGGGAAGTTTAAGTTGAGAGAGGGCTGGCAATTGCATCTGTACATATCACAGTTGCCATGTAATTCTCGGTGATGATCTTTTTTCTTTTTTTTCATAACAAAGTTAATGTAAAATTAAATGAATGTTTGTTGAGTTTCTGCATTGATTGGATGTTAAACTAGCTTCGGATATGCATGCTTTCTCTGACTTTGTTTCGTTTTAGTTGTTTCTTGTAGGTGGGGATGCTTCTGCAAGTTCACCATTGTCTCCTGTGAGAAATGTTTTCCTAAGAGAAGGGGATTTGCCACCATCTCTATGCGAGAATGGTTCTACGGGTGATCTTTTGGAGGTGACAAAAGAGAATAACGGTACAGATGGATTTTGTATATTTTTTGTATCTGTTTTGGCTTATGGTTATTTCACTTGCTTTTATATTTGATCCTTTCTGAGCTCCTTATTTGAAATTTCTGCGTGGTGTAATGAAGATGAAAGTGCATGTTGATATCACTCCAAGTAGGCTACTATTTCCATCTTAAATGACATTTATTGAAATTACTCCAAGTAGGCAGCTGTGTCATAGTTTCTTTCATAATACTCACATTCAATGGGGAGCATAGTATGATCTCAGAGAAGTATTATCCTCTTTCTGGCTAGCAATAACAGAATTATGTTGAGCTCTGTTGCTTCCATGATCTTATGCCTCACTTTTTAATTTCGTTGTTATTTTCTCTGATGGCTATTTTATCAAATTGTATTGTTTATTTGTTCACCTCCTTGGGCTGGTTGAATATATTTTTCAAAACTCTTCTGCTTATCAGTTAACATGTTTCTTTTAAGCTGGCAGTTTCTTCTTTAAAATTATCTCAAGATGAGACCTTTTGGGATGGACGTAATTAGCATTGTTTGGCTCAAAACTATTTATAAGCAGGTGGATTTTCAACTGATGGTTCACAAGTAAGTGGCATGGTTCAGAGAAAACCTGGTCGTGGTGATACAACATTGTCAGTTAGCTGCTCTGATAAAATAGCTCGGTGGAATGTTCTTGGAGTTCAAGGTGTGTTATTTCTATATTTCCAAAGTAGTTCTTCCTTTGTTCCAGCCTATGTCATTACGCTAGTTTACAATATGTAATTTGCTTTCCCTTTTTTTTCAGTTTATCGTTTATATGTTGGTGGTATCTGGCATACAATTATCCTATCATGGCTTCGTCATGTTGCTGAAGTTGACATACTTGCACAATATTTTGATTTTATGTGAATAACCTATCAATATTATCATGTGCACAAGATGTCTAATTTTTTGCTTGCACAGACATGCATGTGATATCTTTTTCAATCCATCATTTTGACTATCTTCATGGCTTTCCTTTTTCGTGCTTTTTCTTTTTTTGAGAAAATTGTCTTCCTTGCTTATTATACAAGGAACCAGAAGGAATTAACATTGCCTTAGTTTAGTAATAAGCTCTTTATTTTCTTATTTCAGGAGCTTTGCTTTCCTACTTTCTTCAACCTGTTTACCTTTCTTCAATTACTATTGGACAATCGTCTAATAGTCCCGAGAATTTTTCTTTGGAAGGTCACTTGAAAAGAGCCTTGTATGATCGAATCTTACCATTGTCAGATGAACTAGTTGCTCCTTTCCACGTACACAAGGTATTTAATTGCATAAACATTCAATGTATAGGTGATCATGCTTATGATGATATATGGTACATAATACTACTAGCAGCCACTTTTTTGTGCAGCTCCTGTGCCGCCCATGGAATTTCAGCATGCTGACACTGCTCTAGCAACTTTAACATGCGGGTAATTTCATTGAATTGATCCTTTTCCTGTTCTAGGTGCACCAATTATTTATCTCTGTTTGTCTCAATATACTTTATGCCTTGACCCAGGTATTCCATATGTTGGAACAAGTGTGGCATGCATGAAGTCATCCTTGGGACCACTGGAAGAAAGCAAGGCACTTCTGCTAAAGGGGCACTTTCTCCAGCTACCATGTCCTCTATATGCAAGTAAGCTGGGGGTTAGGCTTATCAGTGGAAAGGTGTCCTTTGCTGTTATCATGATCACTGTCAAGTAATAATCTTTTTTCTTTTGTTCTAGAAAGCGGTTATTGGAGATTTTCTTGACATTAAATCAGGAGTTTCAGATTAAATGCCCTGCCATGGATATTTCTTATCGAGAGCTCAAGGTTCTGTATTATTTCCTGAGATCCTTATTCTTATTGCATTTTCAAACTTGTGACTGAAGTTATATAAGCTGTGTTGACAAAATGCACATGCCGGTGTTGTTTGTGGATTTCACATTTTGCACTGGCTCTTGTCTCTGCCATTAGTTTGCAAATTCAGTCAGCATCTTCTCTTTTAGTAATAAATGTAGTTCAACATTATTTGCAGAGTTTAAGTTCTTCGTGTAGCAAAAGATCAACATTATGGTTCTTGTTGCTAGTACAGTAAGATTGACCTGCAACGTGATCATATTACGTCATTTTCACCTTTGAATCAACTCAGTAGCCACATAAAAAATTGTTGGTTGAAGCTTCCAGAGCAGCATCATAGGGCACATATGTGAAGTGTAAATGCTAGTTCCCAAGTTCATTTTCGTAATCATATATTAATTCTGCATAGTATACATGTATGGCTATGGAATCTCGTCTTACTATGGTAAATTCTTTTGCAGAACAATGCTCAAGTGTACAGTTTAACTTCAAAATCTTTTAAAGAAAGTGCGCCTTTTAACAATTGGCCATTGAAACCCTTGGACTTTGAGGCCTTCTCCATTTTGAGGGAGTGAGGTATGTGCCATTCAACGTCAGGTACTTCTAACGACAACTTGTTACTCGTGCTTGATTAACCATCAGGCTGTTGGTGTTTCAATTCCATCTTTTTGCATAGCTAAATATGATACGATGCATCCAATTGTTGGGATAAAAACTAACAGGCAGTAAATTGTTATGAACTTGCTTCCTTCAGGCTTCCCAGGATCTTGATATAGTATCAAGTGTTGTTGATGAGGACTTGTGCCTATCATCCAGTTTTTAGGCAGACCATTCACAAAGGGGAAACACATTTTTTTGCTGGAGCTGGGACGGGTGCTTTTGCACCATTTGCTTCCTCGTGACATCCTGATGACACACCGTGGGGACCCCTGAACTTCTCTGACATCCTCCTGAGCTGCTGTAATTAGAGCTCACAATTTTTGCATGGCCGAGCCAAATAACTAGCACATGCTGCGGTCACATGCTAAGCACATTGCCACAACATTTTAGGTGAACCTCTTTAAGGCCACAGACATGTGATTTGACTCTGATTTTACACTCTTTTGTAAGTACCCGAGTTGTGGGCAGTTGAAAACTCAAGATTTTTAACTATTGCCTATGGACTTAAAAGAGATCTAAACAATGAAGAACAGAAGCATAGAACACGAGACCTAGCCTACTCCTGAACCGTTAAGGACCCCACACCGCCGCCAACTATGTTACTGTAAAATTGAAAATTGGCGAGAAAGAGGTTGGTGAAGTCTGGCAGAATTGGGCCAATTGGCAACTCCCACTTTCTACCACTTATTACCTTGCTGAATTGGAAACCATATATCAAGAAAATGCACATTCGGCACGCGTGTTTCATCATAGGATGGTATGAAGTGGCCAATGTCATTCTCTTTCTTCTTGTTGGCCAGTGTCATTTTCTTTCTTCTTGTTTTGTCTTGGCGTCAATGGACCACTCACTTTGATATGTTCGAGAAGCCAAAATTCCGCAGACTGCTGGTCACGTAATTTGTCTTGCTCTCGATGATATTGGGCCAAATATCATCTCTTTGGTTGGCTACAATTCACTCTTTCTTTGAGAAAATGATTTCGCTCGAGGCACATGGCAAATGATACCATCCTCACGCAAGCCATGGTCTCGGTGTATGACAATTTCCTAGATGACTAGTACGAGGCAGATAGTAAATTAGCTGCTGTACAGCAATAATTAATCTAACTCTGAAACTTGGGATCATAGAAATGCCTTCTTCGACAATAATTCTCCGCACAAAATTCTGTGAAATAGAGTACATTGACACTCTGAGATTCTGTTGTTTCTTTCTTCTTTGTTGCATTGCATAACACGGTGACCTAAATGGCTACATGCGTGGTCTTTCTACTTTGGTTAATTCAAACCTTCTATATTAAGTTGGATTAAATCAACTCTTTTATTTTCAATTAAACGTGATTTTACCCTCTCATCTAATTTCTTTGCTTATTAAACAACAAGACGAATGTAATATGTTATCATGCAATTGGATGAAGTATCTTAAGTTGCATTTATTTGGTAGTAGAAGAGTTGATTTAATGCAATTTAAGGTACCATTTTGATCAGATGTGTAAAGTATAAGGACCGCACGATGATTTTTAGCCGTGACCTCAAAAATTAAACAAACTCTTAGCAAGACAGTGGCAAAAGAAAATCCAATTTCAATTGGTGTAAAATATAAGGACCACACAATGATTTTTATCCGTGACCACAAAAATTAAACAAACTCTTAGCAAGACAGCGGCAAAAGAAAATCCAATTTCAATTGATGTACGTACTGATTAAAAAATAATATAAAAAAATTGCTCCACATCTTCTGTGTTTGGATATATTTGGATAAGAAGACGACCAAGAAACAATAAAATGAAATTATTTTGTACATAAATTGTAATGCTGACCGAATTTCTGTGTCTCCAGGCTTTCATAGACGCCTCCGCTCCTTGCTTTGCACCCCATTTTCACATGGATTAAGTGCTATTAGCACCATGACCACGGGTTAGTCACGTTTCTTCTTCTGATTCACTCTAAACTGAGGTTAAAAGCAACCTTTAATTAATTACGAATCAGAGAAAGCAGACTCAATGACTGTGCCCACGAGAGTTTTCCTCTGTAAATTTCTCATTTAAACGCCTCCTCTCACATTTTCCTTCTTGCCAGTTGAGTTTTACGATGATTTTGCTTGATTTGACCGTAAGCACTATTTTAAAACTTGACTAAGCGTTTTGATCGCTTGTGATAGCAACTGTAGGGCATAATATTACGTACCTTATATTTTATTTTCCTTTAACTTTAATCGCCGGGTAAGCTAACTTAGTAAGTAATTATGAACTTTTGGACAATGAACCAATGGTTAGCCGTATGCTTATCTAACAGGGAATTAGGTTTAAGTTTTTTAGTTCCTGCCTAGTAGTCAAAGCTGCCGTGTAACCAGAAATTCTCATTAGAATTTTCTAAGTCAAAGTTTTTTTTTTTTTTTTTTTTAGGGAATAGTTTTTTAAATACATAAGAAAAGTTAGACAGACGCGCACTTTTTGAAAAAGACATTACACCCACCAAAAATAATAATAATTAATTGATAATAAATTCACATCCTCTCATGTATATTTAGAAATAAACATGACTATTTATGTTTTAAATCTCGTCATTATTTTGATTCAATGATCTAAATTAAGTAAAAAAGATAATTAGGAGTTAAAAATTAAAATATTTTTGCCATTTTAAATACTATATCTAAATCTCACATTCGTGGTTCAATGAAAAGGATTCTTTAATGTCACGAATAAAAACAAAGAAGAAGAAGAGATTCTTTAACGTGAAAAGACAATACTGTTGAGTTAGCTATATATTCATCCTGTTTCACGAAGATGTTGATAAGGAATTCAAGTACTTTAATTAGTCATGCTTAATTGCTACGCAGGGCTTCTTAGGTCTTACCACTTGCTTCTAAAAATCCCTTCAACCGTCATGCTACTTGTATTTTTTTTAAAAAAAAGGTAACTAGAGAAATCCAAGGACTTTTTTTATTTATCAATAGGATCCGAGGACTTTAAACGTGAAATAACCGATATATAAAGCAAGCAAAATGTCTTCATGGAGACTTACATACAGACAACTCGGGGCCATACTTCATTAGTATAGTTGATTAAAATTAATATCTAGCTAGACCTGGGACAGTCCATATTCCTTCTATTATTATTTTTTTTCTTTTTGGACAAACAATCCATCAAGACTCTTCAATTCCTTCAACTTTCTTCCTTTCAAATAGAGAGCTCAGGAAATTTTATAAGAGGGAAGGCCTATAGCAAAGGACTCAAAAAGTCTCCACATGATAATTACGTATACCAAAAGCTAATGTTTCAAGTTAAATTAGAGCTTTTTCAAGGTATAGAGACCGGAGAGCCTGTGAAATCATGAAGAAGAACAAAGAAAAATCTGCACATGATGTCTGGTATTCAGGGTTTGAAAGATACTTCATCAAGCCACCTTGGAGATCAGGAAATAAGCGAGATGCAGCTACTGTTTTGGTCGTCTTCTTTTTCTTCCTCTTCCTTGGCGCCTTATTATTTGTGGGTTGGTTTGATGCTGTAAGTTCTATCAAACCTTTTTCTGCTTTTTTGAAAACCAAACTCCTACAAAACCTTGAAGATGTGAGCAAAACCCTCTCGATAACTATCCATATCTATATCTACATGTATGAATCCATCAATCCTGTCAACAGCAATTTTATGTCCTACTTCGCTCCGTCCGCGCTTATATATATATATATATATATATAGAAGAGGATAGTATTAACTTGTTATTGTTTACTAGTACTAATGCTAATACAAGTGATGCCTGTAATTTTGCAGTCTGTATTTCGTGGAATTTCCATTCAAAAACCAACCGTAACGCCCACAAGAATGCCTCCAAAGTTCCCACTCAAGTGCACCACAGGAAACCTGACACAGCAAACCTGTCCAAAAAACTATCCTACTAAACACAACCCCACCACAAATCCTGACCGTCCATCAAACCTTACTACATGCCCGTCATACTTCCAATGGATCCATGATGATCTACGGCACTGGAGAGAGACAGGAATCACAAGGGACATGATCGAACGGGGTCGAAAAACAGCACATTTTAGGCTTGTGATTGTCAACGGGAAGGGATATGTTGAGAGGTATAGGAAATCAATACAAACGAGAGATATGTTCACATTATGGGGTATTTTACAGCTTCTAAGGCGGTATCCTGGTAAATTGCCTGATTTGGAGCTCATGTTTGACTGTGACGATCGGCCAGTCATTCCATCAAAGAATTTTAGGGGCCCAAATGCAGCCCCACCACCATTGTTTCGATACTGTTCAGATTGGCACAGCTTAGATATTGTGTTCCCGGATTGGTCATTTTGGGGCTGGTATGTAATCACTTTCTTAATTCATCTTTATTTTTTTAATTTTTTTTATAATTAACATTTACAAGTTGCTGGTATATGTGGATTTCTTCGCATCATAAAACTAAAATTTCATGACTTCAAACTAGATCCATGAAAAGCTCTAGCTTTACCCCCAATTGATTCCATATGCTTAGAAATTTGGTAAGATTCAAAAGGGAGTAGGGAAATTTAAAAGCATTTATTATCATTCTTCTCCAAAAAAATTCAATGAAAAGCATTGTTAGATGTGTGAGCTATGTTATTTTAATCTTAGGATCTACTTGATAGGCAATTGGCAAATGGGCTTACTTGGGCTATTGATCCCAGGCTAGTAAAATAGAGCCTATATAGGCCCACGAGCTAGGTTACTTCTCAACAATGAAATTTGACTTCAATGGAGCTGCAAATTAATAAGGCTGACGAGTAATGTCCCACGCTTTTATCTTTTCAATGAATAGTAATGACCAGAGATTTGCCACCCAAAATGAATTTGGGAAAGAAAGGGGGAACTGAATGGACTATATGTACTTGTTGTGTTTGCGTAGGGCTGAGACCAATATAAGGCCATGGAAAAATTTGTTAACGGACATTAAAAAAGGTAACAGCAGAACTAAATGGAAGGACAGGACACCCTATGCATACTGGAGAGGTAACCCATGGGTTTCTCCAGTGAGACAGGACCTTCTCAAGTGCAATGTCTCTGACCAAAATGACTGGAACACTCGCCTATATATTCAGGTAATATGTGCTTTCTCTTTCAGAATTTTTTTTTGTCAACAATAAATCATGATCAGAGGCATCTTCGATTTTCTCTTTTAACATTATTTCAGGACTGGATAAAACAATCAAAAGAAGGGTACAAACAATCTAATCTACAAGATCAATGCACCCATAGGTAAGCGAAAAGGGGGCCAAAAAAGAAGAAGTTAATATTATATTATTTTAAATAAATATCAATATTGATGGGGAAAAAAATAAATCTTTGCAGATATAAGATCTACATAGAAGGATGGGCCTGGTCAGTAAGCGAGAAATACATTTTGGCATGTGATTCAATGACCATGTACGTTACTCCTCGTTACCACGATTTCTTTATAAGAGGGATGGTACCATTGCAGCATTACTGGCCTATTAGGGACAATAGCAAGTGCACTTCTCTCAAGTTTGCTGTGGAATGGGGCAACAATCACACCGAAGAGGTAAATGAAATAAACATCATTATCCAGATCAATGCCATGAATTTTTCAATAATTTTTATGTATATATATATATATATATATTTGTCTATTCATTACTCACATACGATGAATGGATCTAGGATCATCTTACATTCGTGTGGATAATTTCCCAAATAAAGCACATATATACCATATATCCAAACGATGCTTATAAATTCAAATTAATTCTAGCAATTGACATAACTTTTGTACTGAATTTTGGTGTTGTAGGCACAAGCAATAGGAGAGGCTGCTAGCAAATTCATTCATGAGGATATGAAGATTGATTATGTGTATGATTACATATTTCATCTACTAAACGAATATGCAAAGCTCTTGAAGTTCAAGCCGACAATACCTCCAGGAGCAGAGGAGCTGTGCCCAGAAACAATGGCATGCCCCACAAACGGTACACATAGGAAGTTCTTGGAGGAATCCATGGTGCTGTCTCCTAGTGATACAATCCCATGCACCTTGCCTCCCAATGATCCTTCGGTACTTAGAAATTTGTTGGATAGAAAAGTCAAATCAACTAAGCAAGTAGAGATGTGGGAGAACGAATACTGGGAAAATCTAAATAAGAAGCAATAGAAACCAACCCCTTATTTGTAACCAAAAAGGTGCTCCCGAGCAATTACCCTATCTTCTAAATCTAATTGCTGCTGACTTTGTTACTGTTAATATCAGTCCTGTGGATGTTGGGCTTTTGTAAAACATGAGCTTCAATAATTTTGTATCTCTTCTATATCAATGTTAACCTTGAGATGTTCAACAAATATATATATATATATATATATATATATATAGTATTTTTGCCTGTATAATAATGGGATTAAAAATAGGGGCATTTTTCAAACTCTTCGACTGTAATTGGACCAGCCGTTTTGACGCTTGAGTAGCGCGTGGTTGGCGTCGTTAATTTGCATTTTCTATTTGAATATAAGGAAAGATAATTTTTAAGTCAGATAATATTGTTTTTGGTGAATGTAAGGAAAGATAAAATACATGGCAAGTAATTAATGGAGAAATATTATATATTAATTATCAAGTGAAAATTTGTGTAAAATAAAAAGTTCTACAATCATAAAAAAAAAAATTGATAATTTAGTTCAAATTATAAGCTTTAAAAGGTTTTGGAAAGGAGTATCTATGACTCCATTTCAAGTTCCTCTTGATCACATAGATGAATATGTTATTGCAAGTTCTTGTTGGTATATATATTGGGTTCGTGTAGATGGGGAGTTGTAACTAAACAAAATTTAAAGAGGAGAATTACAGAAAGATTTGAGTGAAAAAAAGTACATTACCTTTTTTTTTTTTTTTTTTTTTGTGAGAAGAAAAGGAATTAAGGTAACTTAATTAAAGGGAAAGAAGACGAATTTTAGAGTATTAATGCTATACCATAACTAGAGGGAGCTAACAAGAGTAGTTTTCTTTGATTTGAACTTAATTGGCTGATGAATTTTTCATTGGCAATACAAATTAACAAAACAAAACTCAGAACATAATTTTTTATAATTTTTAAATTGGGAAAAAAGCTGATCTATGCAGGAAATATTGCCTGTTTCTCCGTTCACACATTTTACATTTGTTAACTGATTTTCACCTTATAACCTAACCAAAATTCTATTTAAACCAAAATCATGACACACATATATATATATGCCTAAAAATTGTTGTTCCATATATCGGCAATTGATTCAGAAAAGTAGAGGAAATTCAGCTAGTGAATTTTTATAGTGATACACTTCACTGTTTGCAACAAGTAATTAAAGAAAAGTCGAAAATTTTACAGCCACTTTCCAAGCCATGAAGCGATCAGATGCTTCAACAATTGTATTTCTTTTCTTCGTCATCCTTCTTGTTGGTGCTTTGTGTTTTTGGATTGACGTTGTGAGTTTCTCTTAGTCCATTTTCAACAATTGCTTTCTCCTCATCCACCTGCAGTCTTTTGAATTTAAATCATCATCTGATCATGTTTTGGAATGAGATAACATACATACATACATATATGTATATATATGTATATGTGTGTGTGGATATCTTTTTGGTAGAAAATAGATTGGTAAGCACTTAGATTAAAACATGATGGGTTATCATATATATATATATGATAATAATAAAAGACATTAGTTCCTTTCGTTTATATTGTAAAAGTAATTAGTATTAAATCCAAATCAATGTTTAATCTATTCGACATTCCAAATTTCATAAATTTTACTGTATTTCATCGTGACTATAGGAAGACAAATGTTTACGCATGGGTAGAATTGTCATATAAATATTATTAGAAGGGCGATTTTTTTTTTTTTTTAAGTTTTTATTTAATTCTATTGGTGATTAGATAAGAGTTAGGGCAAGAGGTAATATGAAATTTTATTTATATGTTCGTGCCTAAAAAGTAGAGAGTTGAGGAGCCAAAAATAGATTAATTACCATGATCAGCTATTTTCAAACTACCTTCCCTTCAAACACATAGTTGATAAAGAAAAATATTTTCCAATTATGCGAACCAATTTCGAACATATAATCTAATATTTTATTATAACCACAAAATGAAAGGCCTCTGATTTGATAAATTCGGTTTTGTCGGTTTAAACCGAATTATTCAAAACGGAAACAAAAAATTTCAGTTTTTAAATAAAATATCGAAATTAATTTAGTTCAATTTCAGATTTTCAGACAACACAAAATATATAGTAATTGCATTACTTTTCGGTTGGAATTATTACATTCATCAATGCACTTTACATTTAAATTTTTTTTTTTTTCAAAGATAACAATTTCATTCCATTGAAATTGAGAAATGCTTCTATCTCTAATTATAAGCCAACCGAAAAACTTTTTTTTATATATATTTTATTTTATGAAAAGAATGAAAAGCGCTAACTTGCATGTAAGGACCTCAAAAACATAGAATGTAAACTTTACACTAAAAATTTAAAATTTAGATCTAAAAAATTAAAAAATTATTATACAAGTGAACAAAAAGTTTGAATTTTGTCGGCAATGCATTAGTTGTCCTAATACCGTGATCTTCCGATTGATACTTTTGACAAGAAATTTAAATACTAATTTATTAGCATTTTATATAAAACTTACATCGTAACAGAAGACCCATGCATGAAATGACATAAGGACATGAAAAACAAGAAAAAAATAACATTAATCTAAGGAAAAAAAAACTTTGATTATTAGAAGGAAACATGAAAAAAAAAAAAAAAAGGCTACCGTCTATGGCGGACGCTATGAAAAAAATCCCAAAATCGTACTTTACATTAATATAGCTTATAGCATGAATGGATACTTTATTTTTTTCATATTTCTCTGATTTTCAGTCTGTTATAGTTGCTGATGAATGGATACTTTATTTTTCATATTTCTTTGATTTTCAGTCTGTTATAGTTGCTGTGCCTCTCAATTTGAAAATTCTTTTCACCGGAAGACCTAGAACGTATACTGAGTTTCCACTCAGTTGTTCCAATCAAAGCATAACTGCGTCATGTATGATCAGCAGTGCATTTGAAGCCAATAAATCATCAGCTATGGCATGCCCAGATCACTTCCGATGGATCCACGAAGATCTACGACCGTGGACGAATTCAGGAATCTCGAGGGACACGTTAGAAAGAGCTAAAAAATACGCACATTTTAGACTGGTGATCATCGAGGGCAAGACTTATGTGGAAAAATACAGCAAGGCATATCAAACAAGAGATTTGTTCACAATATGGGGTATTTTGCAACTTCTGAACTTGTACCCTGGGAAGATACCAGACTTGGAGCTGATGTTTCGATGTGGAGATAAGACTGTGATACAGAAATATGACTTCCAGGGACCAGATGCCATGTCTCCCCCGGTGCTATTTCAATATTGTGGACACAACACAACATTGAACATTGTCTTCCCTGACTGGACATTCTGGGGTTGGTAATGCTTTAAACATACTGATCATTTCCCATTTCAATGCACTGTTCCACAATACTACATGGATTGACAACATTTCATGCAAAGGGTATTTGAGATTGAATAATTGCATTATTTAGCAACTCTCTAAAGCATTTTTCTTATTCAAATTGCTTAATTTTCTTCAAAATATATTTTATAACCTAATTGATTTTCCATTTAAACAAAATAAAAAAATCCGAAGCTTATATTTCTTTGTGGTGTTTAATTATGGCAGGGCTGAGACCAATATAAAACCTTGGAAAAATATTCTACAGGGCATAGTTAAAGGCAGTGAGGAGATTAAGTGGCAGGATAGGGAACCATATGCCTATTGGAGGGGGAACCCCTATGTCTCTCCAAACAGGGAAGACCTTCTGAAGTGCAATGTCTCGAACAAATATGACTGGTTTGCTCGCATCTATGAACAGGCAAGTGTACTTCTTCTGCCCATTAGAAGGTTTGTAGTTCGCAATAATTGACAGAGGGCCATGTAATGTGATCGGATGCGTAAAATTATAACATATACTAAAACAAATGACGTTTCACTATAATTAAGTCCTTCCTATAATGAATCTAAAACGACGTCGTTTTAAGTATAATGAACCTAAAACGATGTCGTTTTGAGTCTAAACGACGTCATTTTCCTAAAAAAATTAGTGTTTTTTTTTATCAATTATTTATACTTTGATCCTCTAAGTTATTAATTTATATAAAGCTATCCCTAATTTTAATTAATATTACAAAAAAAGTTCCTATAATTTTTTTGCTGGACTGGGTTATTTTTTTCATCATTTATTATTTAATTAAAATAAAATTTTTCCACAATTAATGGTTATTTTTTCTATTTTTATAAATATTCATTAACCAAAATTAGATATTCTTCTAATATAAATTTATTAAACACCTCCTTCTGATTTGATTTTTAAAAAATAAATAATTAATTGCATGTATTTTTTATTTATCAAAATAAAAATATTCCTAAGATATATTTAAATTCAATTATATATATATATATATAATTAAATAATTTTTTTACAATGAGGTTTAATTAATTTTTATTTTATGTTTGTATTTTTAAATTATTTAAAATATTAAAATATAAATATAATAAACTTACTCACAACAACGTACGGGTATTAGGCTAGTAGGAGCTAAAGCTCCAAATTATCTCCTTATTATATTGATTTGGGTTAGTGCTTGATTTATTATGTTTCTCAATTAATTTAATATATTTTTAGGTTAAGCTGAATACAAACCATAATTAGTTTACAATACATGATATGATTAGAAAGTATCAGGTAAGTATTCAAAACTAAAGTTTGAGATAAAAAAAACTCCTTTTAAAATGGCTTATTATAAAATTAATAATATATATAATTATAGTAATAATTTTTCCCTGTAATTTTTTTATGTAAAATTATAACTTTGGTTTATTATGACCTAAATTTTCCTGTATTATTTATAATTTTATTAAAGCCCCAAATTTTAGTTCAACGTCATATATATATATATATATATATATATACACACACACCAAGTGGATGATGAGCTTAATTGTTCACTCAAATTTATCCACACAAAGGATTTCTTCTTATTAAAAAAAAGTTTTCTTTGTCATTTTAGCTTAATTGTTAATGTCTTTAATTGTCTATCATAATTTAATTTCCCAAAATAGTAGTTATAGAATCCCATTATTGATGTTCAGAACTGGGGTAAAGAAAGGAAGCAAGGGTATAAACATTCAAAATTAGAAGACCAATGCAACCACAGGTATGTATCAAACTCCTTTAAATTTTCTCATATTTTTTCTAATCCTTCTCAAGGTAATTACTATTTTTAATTGCTACTTTCTTTTCTACATTAATTAAGTATGGAATTTTACATTCTGTTTGTGTACGAATCTGGTGAAGATATAAAATTTATATAGAAGGAAATTCATGGTCAGTGAGTGAGAAGTACATATTAGCATGCGATTCCATGGCGTTGCTCATAAAGCCTGAGTACTACGATTTCTTCAGTAGAAGCTTGGTACCAATGCAGCACTACTGGCCCATTAGGGCCAACAACAAGTGCAAAGATATCAAGTTTGCAGTAGAATGGGGCAATAACCACAATGTTGATGTATGTATATACGTATAAGAATCTCTCTAATTTCTACTAGTTCATCATGAAAATTAGCAGAAATTAATTGATTAGTCTTTGAATTTGATCTATTACAGGCTCAGGCCATTGGAAAGGCAGGAAGCAAATTTATTCAGGAAAATCTCAAAATGGAATATGTGTACGATTATATGTTTCATTTGCTGAAGGAGTATGCGAAACTCCTGAAATTCAAGCCAAAAATACCTGCAGGAGCGGTAGAGGTCAGTTCTGAAGCAATGGCAAGTTCTGAGGATGGTTTGTGTAAAATTTTCATGGAGGCATCAATGGTGAAATCTCCCAGTGATGCACTTATTCCATGTACCATGCATAAGCCTCCTCCGTATGATCCTAGTACCCTTCAAAACAACTTCGAGAGAAAAGAGAAGATAACAAAGCATGTTGAGATGTGGAAGACTGAGGATTGGGAAAATCTAAATAAAAAAACAATAGAATCCGCTTCGCTCTTCAAGAGATTGAATAGGAATACAAGTATATAACGTTCACTTTTAGTTTTTCCGTGTTGTTTTTCTCTCGTATTAATTTTCGAAGGATTTTCAATTAATCCCACTTGTAGCTAGAAAAGAAGAACTCTTTTTTACTTTGCAAAATCCACAGAAATCAAACATAAAATAAAAGACAAACAAAATGTTAATGTGATTCGACAAATTCTATTTCATAATATTTCATTATCAAATGTTGGTTATAATCATTAATTAATCATTCTCATCGCAACCAAAGAATTTTAACACCGCAAGTGTTAAATCTCATATATAGACTAGAATTTAAAAAATCACACAAAAAGGAAATCGTTTCACAATAAATGAACTCCTCCCACGACAAAAGCATGGGGTAGTATTTTAGACATGGTTGTAATCAAATGAAAAGGCTTGGATATTGCATGGTTAGCTTGAAATACACCTTGTGGGTAGAAACCTAACTAGTGTAGCAAGGTTTACTGATTACTCTGAAAAACTAAGGATATCGATGAAAGGATCTAATTTATAATTGTCTAAAATAACAAGGACTTATTTGATATATTTTTTATTCGGGGTGAAGTTATTATGAATTAAATATTACTACTAATTAGGAGCTAATTTAAGGTTTTTCCTTAATTTTCGTATAACACGTTCATTTATGAAACCAAAGTCATGGACTTAGATTTACATCGTCTATATGGATTTTTAAATATTCAAAAGAGCTTTTCTTTTTCTTTTTTTACCTCATTATGTATAATCTTGAAAAGCTCGAAAGCAATCATGCATGTTAGATGTACTTCATCAAAACCAATTAATAAATAAGGTATATATTATCAAATTAATCGTATTCAGGAAAAGAATAATTATAAATTACATTCATAACTTAATTCTTTATTTATTTTAAATTAAGGGGAGAACCTGACATGGATAATTTCTCCATTATATATATATATATATCCATTTGCCCCCTTCAAAAGGGTAAAGGCTTCTATTGTTTCCTATCTTACTATTCATTAATTCCCCACTTTGTCTTCTTACATTTTTTTTTCATCCAAAAAAATGTATTAAAAGTATACGATGATGATAATGAATAAATTAAGAAATAATAAAAATAAAGAATGATAATGATAATGATAATTAATTATTAAAGGACAGAGGTGGAAGTGAAAAATTAATACATTTTCGACCACATGGATAGAGGTGAGAGTGAAAAAAGAAATGATGAAAATATTTTTTAAAAAAACTTGAGATATTATATATATTTTTTATTTTTATTTGTAATTTCTTGAATTTAAATATCCCTTCTTTTCTGTTTCCTCTTACTCTCTCGTTCCTGATCACAGATGTAAGGCCCGCGTGAGCCAGCCCAGGTGCCAGCCTCGCCTGATATGGCTCCCATAGGGTAGAAACGTTTTTTTCTTTTATACTTTATTCTATTTTTGCAAAATGAAATAATTGCAAAACAGGCCAGGCCCGCCTGAGCCACGTCAGGCAAGACTGGAACCTGGTTTGTCTATGCGGCCCCAGGTTCAATTCCTAAATTAAAGTAAAAGGAACTATTAGGGATGCAATTTAACCCGATCTATGGGGTATTTAACATGATTCAATCTGGTTAGATCAGATTTTTATCCGATTCGATAAGATTCAGATTGAGTTGGATGAAAACCTGATCCAATTTTCTTGGGTCAAGTGAGGGGTGTGTGTGTGTGAAAGGTCCATCCAGCCCGCTATTTTTATTTTAATCTTTTTTAAAATTCTTATAAAACCTACAAAATAAACTTACTTATTCAACCTTTACCTTTTAAGTAATTTTTACTTTATAAATAGAAAAAAAATTCTTTTAATTTTTAATATATACAATACTATTAAAATATTGTATTGCAAATTGTATAAAAATCAATATAAATTTCTAACTTTAATTTATATTTGAAATTTGACTATAATTATGAATATATAATAATAATGAAAACTAATTATTATCAATTAAGAATACGTAAAATTAGTATGTCCTCCCTCTTATTAATATATATATATATATATAATACCTTGTTATCAAACACTAAGTGTTATATGATATAAGCTAGGTAGTTGATGTATTCTTTATTAAATACATGATAGAAATCAATTTAAAAAAATAAAAAACACATAATTCAACACTATATGCATGATTTCTAAACATAAATGACAACTTGAACCATACCAATCACTAAAAATATGCTAATTAATACATGTCATTAGTGATATTTGATGACATATTTTTATATTTTTAAATCATATTTAATATTAAGAATTTAAATGTTAATTAAAAAATAAGGTTATTGGTTATATGAGATCATTTTTCCTAATATATTATGAAGTGATTTTATGAGCTTCTACCAAAAAAAAGAAGGTTGAATCAAGTACTAGTCTGGTGTGGAAGTAGTCCTCCTTCTCACTCAATCCAACCAGATCGGATCTGGTAGGGACGCAGGTGGCGGGACAAGGTATTCTGGACCGGATGTTGGTGCATTAAAACCCAAACCTAACCCGACTAGTTGCCATCCTTAGTCAAGATTTGCTAGCAACAACATTGGGGTGGAATTATTAAAATAAAGACTAAATTATTCTTTCATATATCAGTTTTTAATATTAGGTTTAAAAAGGAGAAAAGAAAGGAGAAAAGCACAAAGCATTGGATATCTCGTACTAGAAAATGTCAACGGCCGTTAGAATCAAGGATTTGTCGGTGAAGATCGTCGGTTTACGGTACGTGGGTTTGGGGCGGAATTAGAAAAATGCTAACGTTTTTTTAGGCATGGCGACACAAAAACCTATCAAGATTCAAGACCGTGTGAATTGGATACGGCGTCACCCCTATGATGAGAACATCCAAGTCATCCAACCCCTTGTAGTTATCATAAAAATAACTTTAAAAAGATTCTTTGTAGTTATCATTTCAATAGCTTTAAAAAGCTTGCACGTTAATTAATAAATGAATAACGTTTGACTTCCATGGTGTTTTGTCTTAATTAGCATTTTCTTTCATCAATTTCTGTGAAAAAAACGTTCGTTTTATTTGGTTGTGTCCTTTTCATCAATTTCTTGCACGTTAACTAATAAATGAATAGCGATTAATTATATTTCATTATTCAAAGGCTTATAAGTTCACATATAACTTTCGAACGACCGTCAACTAAATATAACAGCAGTTACTTTTTATTCAAATTCCAACTGTGCCATTAACTCCTAAGAAATCCTCACCTCCCTCATTATTCTTTACGTCTTTCAGCGATGATGTCGTTCAACAATGGCTTTCTCTCATTTTAAAAGTTAAATTTGATTTCAAAACCAAATTTGTAATTATTTCTCCCTGTTAGTCTCCTCTCCATCACTCTTTTTGTCGCTCTCTCTTTTTCGTCAGCCTTCTATTTTCGCAAGCTACGTTATTGAAAAGGTAGTGGATCTTTAAAATTAGAGATCTTTTTTTTTTTTTTGCATTTTTTACTACCTAATAAAAATAATTAGATTAATTGCTTCAAATTTTTAGGGCTTTTTAAGCATTGTGATTAATTTTAATTGCAATAATTTACCGCTGGGTTCTCAAAAATCATTTAGATTTGCTGAATTTGATCAGGGTATTTTAAGCATTAAGAATTTTTTCCCCTTAAAATTTCAGTACTTACTACTGAAGTTATATAGATTACTCACGAAGAAGATCCAAAATCGATTGAGATTCATATATATATAGACACAAATAAATATTAAAATTTTAACTTGCTTTCAGATGAGAGTATATTATAAATTAGTTTTTTTAGTTTTTCAAAACGAATTAAATAGTTCTTTTAGTTTTAGAAATAAATTAATTAGTCCAGATGCTTTTAAATTTATTTGTAAGTTCAATTTTTTTTCGCTTTTTTAATTTATTTTTATTCTTAAAAATAAATAAAAAATATAGAAGGATTAATGTAGAAAAAAATATTTTTTAGAATGAGATAATATTAAATTAATTATAATCAATATTAATTAAGAGATTAATTAATTATTTTTTATAATAAAAAATTATTTAATTTGTTTAGCAAAACTAGAGAACTGATTTATAATTTAGCATTTAGATGTATCCATAGCCCTCACTCTACACCTTAATTCGTGGCTACTAGCATAAGTACCATAAACAGACCAGCAACATATTACAATCCTTAAAAAAGGCAAAAATTACCTCGCTCCATTGCAATTTGATCATTTAAAATTTTTAATATTAAATTACTTAATTTAAACTTAAAAATATTAGTTTTTAAGTAAATATTATTTAAATTATTAATTTTTATTATATATAATAGTCAATTTAGTTGATAATTACATGAAATGTTTAAAAAACGCGGTTAAGCATTTTAACGTTATTTGAAAAATAAGAAACTTAAAACATTAACAGTTCATAATTAACGGTGGTAAGACAGACGACATGTTGTCTGTCATGCCCATTTTAATTTTCTTTTGAGAGGATAGATGGGATGCCTCCCTCGGGCTTTGTGTGAGGAAGAGGAGGCTGGTGGAGTGTGGGCGTTCGGACGGCGCTGGAGGAAGGATGGTTGCAGCGGTTCGGGGCTGTGGTGGTTTGGGATGAGAGAGGATCGTGGTGGCTGGAGTTCTGGCAGTGGCCTTGAGAGGAGTGACTGGGCAAGGGATTATTCAGCGGGTTTGTGGGTCTGAAATGGATGGTCTTGGTCTCGAGGTTCTGTGTTGTTACGGTTTCGACGAGGAATGGTGACGACAGACAGTAGTAGGGGCTGTTGTAGGCGACGGAATGGCTGGGTGAGTGAAGATCGGCGTTTGGTGAGGGTTTTTGGGGGTGGAGTTGCGGCGGGCTAGTGGGTTTCAGCTGGCTGGAGGGATTGTTGTAGGCGACGGTGTGATAGGTGAAGGTGGCCAAGGTTTACAATAGGTAAATATTTAAAATTGTCAAATTACAATAGGTAATTTTTTACATTAAATAAAAATAAAACATCAGCCCCGCCAAGGTTTCAATTCCATTTATCTCTCCAATTATAATATTGTTTTCGTTCTTTTATCACTTGGATCTCATTATTAATCGGGTAAACTAATCTTCACTTAACCTCGTTGGTTGACTAACCTCGTCAAGGAAGGGTTTGCTATAAATGCCTGGAAGATGAGACATTGTTAGGTTTGGACTGTTTCAAAAGACAAAGATTTATTTGTTTGGAGAGGGGAAGAAAACAGAGAGAATATTAATAAGATTGGGTTTGGTGATGTGAGAAACTCACCATTTAAAAGAGTATAGAGAGTATTTTCGGGACAAAAATAATTAATTGGAAGATAGCTAAGCATCATATTACCAGTGTACTAATAAAAGAATCAAGTTATAGATAGAGAATTAAAATGGAAAAAATAATACTATGTTTGTTAAGATAAGAACTTAGTTACAAGTGCATTGAAAATGGAGGGTTGAAATGATAGTTTACTCTAAAAGAAAAACTGCACTAGCGTCGAAAAAATATTAATTAGTTCGTCCAAGTTGAGCTCAAAGACATGGATTGTTATGGACACTCACTTCTCCTGCCATAAAGAATCATATTTTCCATTTCTTCCCTCTTTTTTTTTTTTTTTTTTAAATGGCACATTATTGACGCACTAAACCCTTAAGTACGTGCACATGCTTTCTTTTCTTTTCTTTTCTTTTTTAATAACTTAGATGTTCGGATCAGTTTACATACATCTCAATTAATTTCACGAACTTTAAAATTAACGATAATATAAACCTCTAATAACTATCAAGTGAACAATCAAAACTTGAACACGAGACTATAAAAAAACAAACCTCATCGTATCAAGTTTTTTCCGCTGCGTCATGCTTGTAGCTATGCACATGCTTTTTTGATTGTGTTTGTGAGTGTTAAAATCACAAAACATAATCATATTTATTTGGCACAAACTACAGAGGATTGGATGGGATAGCGAACATCGGGAGAAGCATTTTGCCTCTTCTTTCTTTTCTAATGTCAGGTCGCACCAATTGAGTTCCGTGTGAATAAATGAGCTGAGATTTTTTATTCAACTCATGGAAAGTTGAATTGTGTTACCTATGGAAGAATTTCTCGAAAGGAAGACTTGAATTGCAACTTGCAAGTACAGTTACAAACCTTTATATATATATGTGTATGTATATATATATATATATATATATATATATATATATATATATATATATATATATACATACACATTGCAATCTACAATTAGTAGTTATACAAGTTAAAAAATGGTATTATTACGAGAACTAAATTGATCGTTATTGTAAAGATGAAAAACTATCCTAATTTATTTTTATAATTATGCTTTTTTTACTCTAAATAAAAAATTTGAATTAATTATCTTTTGTAAGCATAAAAAATAAATTTATACTATATCAAAATCCTATTGATTAATTATAGACCGATTAGAGAAAAGGATATACTTTCCATTATATAAAAGGAACATCTAAAAATCCAAGATGAACTATTCATACAAACAGTTTCTAAATTTCTAAATAAATTGAATGATGAAATTGGATCCAACTTCTATCAAGTGGATTTAGGTTTCATCAAATTATGATTTATAAAGTAAAAAGGATAAAAAATTTAATTGAGTCCCGGATTAAGCATTAATTATGTCATTAATCTGAAAAAGAAATCGAGAAATCAAAGTCTAGTCTTCTTTATTTTTTAGCTCTTAATTCGATCATGCTTCAAATATAATAATAATAATAATAATAATAATAATTAATATTCATGATTTTGTTAGAATATTTTGTCCAATTATAAAAAAAAAACTAAAAAAACTAAAAGAACTAGAGTTGACATTGTTTATTCACTGTAGCAGTGCCTTTTTTTTTTTTTTTTTTTTTTACAGCTAGCCTCTTTTTTTCCTTAAGGGTTAGACTGTTAGAACTCGTTCATTCATCGTAGCATTATTATTATTTTCATGAAATTAGGTGTGAAAATATAAAAAAAGATCGTTATTTTTTTTTTGTTTTACATATAGTTTGACAAGTAATAGAATATATATGATATTTTTTAAAATTTTAGTTCGAACATATATATCCGATTATGTTATTTTTATTATTTAAAATTTATTTTTTCAATTGTTTGTTTTTTATTAAAATTCTCATCGAATTAATTTTAAATTTGATATAATTTTATTTTTTAATAAATTTGATTTTTTATATGTGGATTTTAAAATAAAATTTTAGAACATAATTATTCTATTTTTTAAAATATATTATTATAATTTATACGATTAATTATTTTTATGATTTTTCAATGAAAATGATATTGTTGCATATATAAATTCGACAAGAGAGAGAGAGAGAGCCAAAAGTGTGTTTTAGATAATTTAACTTAATTTTTTTAAAATAATAATCGATTAAAAAAATAATTTAACTTGGTTTTTTTAAAAAAAATTCACGAGATTTTATTTGTTTTTATATATATGATTAAAATTTATCGAAACCAGTTTTATAATAGTTTTTATTTAAATATATTCACTTCGATATATTTCATACAATTTAAGTGAGTTTTTTTATATATTTTATATATTCTGAATTTTTTAAGTACGATATATATATATACATATAGTTTTGTCATATATAAATTTTGATGAGGAAGAGAGAGAGCTAAAAGTGTGTTTTAGATAATTTGACTTTTTTTTAAAAAAAATAATTAGTTAAAAAATTCACACATTTTATTTGGTTATATATATATATATATATATATATATAGTTTTGTTAGAAATTAATTATATTTTTACACATAACATCAATTATTTGTTATTTATTTTTTCATCATATTCTAAAATTTTTATTTTTAAATGAAATAATTTAATTAATATTTTGAGAGAACCTCTTAATTATTCCAAATATAAATTTTTATACTAATATTATAAATTATTTTGTTAATATATATATATATATATATATATATATATATATATATATATATATATATATATATATATACAAGCAAATTCGTTGAATATATAGATTTAATTTACATTAATCTTCATAAACAAAACATCTACTTGCATCATACCATACGAATCGTTAATCATCTTTATATAATTATTGTCTTACCGCAGCATAACGCAAATATCTCGTATCTAACTAGTTTTTTCTACAATATAACCATCCAACTTTGTGGAACTATTCATCAACTGTTTCTTTCTTTCTTGATTGCCAAGAGACTTAAATTGGAGTCTAATAAAAGATAAAAAGCATGATAACGACAGCATCCAATTGAGAGTGGAGGTGCAACTCTTCATTATCCTGTTTAACATTTATTTCAACCACGAATCAAGAGGTTGTATTTGAATTTAAAAGCTTTAGGCTTGCATGTGGGATCTTATGAGACACGACCGTTTTAATGTGCTAGTTTTTTTCCCCATAATTTGGAGTGAAATTCTTGTTGTATTCAATTGAAGTGAAAAATTTTAAACTGAAAAAGGAAAATCATGTGGTACTTGTAATTGTTTATATATATATAGTACGTTACCATTTCAAGGTTTCTCGGATTGGGTTGTAAATGACCACAATCAGATAGACTAACTAACTATCTCACTGTATATATAAATTAAATGGGTATGTATAAAATACATGAACAGATAAGTGTCAGCAATGTAAGATAATGACATACGTACGATTTTTTTCTATCCATAGGATTAGGACCCCTTACTCTTGAGGCCACATGAATTCATAGTTAGGTCAACGATGCATTTCTTGGTTTAGCAGGAGCGCTTAACCATTTTAAGAAGATCTCCATAGAGTGTGTCAGCTAATGAAGAAATGGGGTTCATCAACTGTTTTCTTCTTCTTCTTCTCGGTCCTCCTAATTGAAGCTTTCTTTTGTTGGATTGATCTTGTAAGTCAAATCCCATACAAATTAAGTAGATATATAGCTATTTCTATTTCCGTTTTGAATCCTTCCCTCATCCTGCTGATCTAATGAATTCATTTGGTTAATTTTTCCAGTCTATCATTACAAGTATTCCTATATTCGATACAATTTTCAGCGGCAAAGGACATGAAAAGTCTCTCCGCAGAATTGAGTTCCCACTCAAATGCTCCCTTAACAGAAGCATGGAGCAAACATGCGCGACCAATTATCCAGTGACATTCAAGCCTAGTAACTTATCATCCACAGCATGTCCAGAGTACTTTCGGTGGATCCATGAAGATCTACGGCTCTGGAAGAGTACAGGAATCTCAAGGGCCATGGTGGAAAGAGCTAAAGATTATGCTCATTTTAGATTAGTGATTGTTGATGGCAAGGTTTATGCGGAGAAGTATAAGAAGGCATTTCATACAAGAGATGTGTTTACAATATGGGGTATTTTGCAGCTGCTAAGGTTGTACCCTGGAAAGGTACCAGACTTGGAACTGATGTTTTCGTGTGATGACAGGCCTGTGATCCTGAAAAAGACTACCAAGGCACAAACGCCACTTCAACACCATCAATATTTCAATATTGTGGGCATGAGGATGCGATGGGCATTGTCTTTCCTGATTGGACCTTTTGGGGTTGGTAATTGCTTGAAACATTTTGCATCCTTCTAAGGTCAAATTTCTCCTTTGAATGGACGAGAGACACTTGTCACTTCATCACAAGTCTTCTTCATTTCTAATATTTTACTTTTTTCCTTTTATGGTCAGGGCAGAGACTAAGGTAAGGCCATGGAAAATCCTGTCCGAGGACTTAAAAGAAGCCAACAAAAGGACCAAGTGGAAAGATAGGGTACCCTACGCATATTGGAGAGGGAACCCAAATGTGGCTCCAAATAGGATACAACTTATGTGGTGCAATGCTTCTGACTGGAATGCTCATCTATACAAACAGGCAAGCTAATTAAATATATAGTTAAAAAGTTATAAGAAGACTCGTTGAAGTAAAATTGTAGTCATTATAATAACTTCATTGTTTGTGTTCAGGATTGGCGTGCAGAAAGTGAGCAAGGATATAAAAATTCAAAATTGGAGGACCAATGTACACACAGGTATAGGTCAAGCGATTAATTATTATACGAGATTAAGGAATTAACTACTACTTTTAATGTTATTCTTATAGTGAATGACATTTTAACTTTTGTACGAGTAGATACAAAATTTATATAGAAGGAAGAGGATGGTCAGTGAGTGAGAAGTACATATTGGCATGCGATTCCATGACTTTGTTCATAAAACCTGAGTACTATGGTTTCTTCATCAGAAGCATGGTACCATTGCAGCATTACTGGCCAATTAGTGCCAGAAACAAGTGCAGAGACATTAAGTTTGCTGTCCAATGGGGCAACAACCATACTGATAAAGTAATTCATATGCCTACGTTCCATTTGTCTCTTTTCTCACTTTTTTAGCTATCAGTGAGTTTAATGCAAAGGAACTTCTTGTTTGCTCATAAATTTTGTAGGCGCAGGCTATTGGGAGGGCAGGGAGCAAATTTATACAAGAAAACCTGAGAATGGAATATGTGTATGATTACATGTTTCATTTATTAACAGAATATGCAAAGCTCTTGAAATTCAAACCGAGAATTCCTGAAGCAGCAGTTGAGGTGTGTTCAGAGACTATGGCATGCCCCCAAAGAGGTTTGTGGAAGAAATTCATGGAAGAGACTACGGTGAAGTTTCCTAGCGACACACTCCCATGTACAATGCCTCCTCCTTATGAGCCTCGTGCACTTGAAGCTTTTCTTGAGAGAAAGGAGGATATTTCGAGGCAAGTGGAGATGTGGGAGAGAGAAAATTGGGAAAAAATAATTAAGCAATAGGTTCTTCATGTTTTTTTTTTTTGTTTTTTTTTGTTTTTTGAGTGGAAGGATCAATAGAGCATTATCTGCTTTATCTCACCCTTTCTAAGGTTTGAATCCAAAACCTTCCCAGGGAAATTCGAGTCCCCAAAGCGTTCTTAGCAGACTATAGGTGGACAAAGATGCATGTATAAGGCTACAACCTGTAAGCGTGTTTGAATTTATTATTATTATTATTATTTTGGTTGACGCCGGTGACCTAATTAAAGATATGTATAGCATCTCCGAAGATCTAGTAACAAAAAATATAGACTTTTTAAAAAGTTAATGAACATTATAATAATTATTTGTTTTTCGCACGCAATTCTCATATTTTTATTTAAAAATAATTTAATATATTAGTAAATATTAAATTAACTTGTTTAATATTATACATAAGAGAATTATTATCATGACAATAATATAATAAACTCTTTAGTATTAAAAATATACTAAATGATAATTTCTTAAACAACTATATACTAACTTTATTATAATGCAAAATATTATTAAAAAAATTATTAATAATAATATAATAGACTTTTTAGTATTGAAGATAGATTGAAAATTCAAATAATTATATAAGGACATATTGAAAATTTAATATGTTAAACTATAAAGTGTATTTTCATTAAAAAAAAATCATGTATAAGTCATGTAATATTTTTGAATGGTTCGATCAGAAAAATTAACAAAAATAATAGATTAAAAATCAGCTCAAATAACATAAACATAATAGATGTCCGAGAGTCTTAACCCTCAAGCTTTTCTACAGTAACTTATTGGATTTCTTCTCTATTATGAACCAATAATATATTTATGGTTTGATACATAATAAAAATTTCTATCATTTTTACGGACAAACGAGTCCTTCAATCTTGAATCCAATGAACTGGTAGTTTGATCTCTTCTCTTTTTGTTCCGAAAACTTGAGCTTAATTAGACTCCTCATTTAATCAAGTGATATGACTCTGTTTCAGACTGCTCCTTAGATCCTCTCCATCTTGGCATGACCTGACACGCATCCCCTTTCGTCCCCTTATCATTTATGTCATCAGACTCTAGTACAGCTATCTTTCATGGCAGTCCCAACAATAGCTTTATACGCGAGCCCACCTAGCAGTGTGTGTTCAACATCATATACATGCCAAACCAACGCGCACGCAACTTATGAGTTTGAATTGAATCCGAGATCTTCGTCAACAGCTTCGTCTAGTGCGTCTTCCTCTCATAAACCAATTGTTGGTGGTCTATCGCGTTTGTTTTCATCCCTAGCAGTGAAAGATGCATCATTTTCGAGTGATAGAGAGGAATTGGGGTCTCTATTGTTATATTTAAATATGTCTATACATATAAATGCAGCGAAAATTAATAGAATACATACTTCCTGTCATGATTGATTAAGTGCTCAAGATATTGTTGAAAGAAAACCGGAGCCGTCAAGGAGAGAGAGAGAGCCTTCTAGTCTATACCAATATTTTAGGGTTTTGTGTGTTGATAAAAAACACAAGTTTTACTTACTATTTATATGGCTAGACCAAATACTTTTTCTTTAACTTAATTTTGCACCTCCATCCATCATGGATGTGCCTAGCCCACTACTAAAGTCCATTGGGCTCTAAGTCTTTAAATAATCATTTATAGATTTAAAATAAATATGACATATGTGCCATATTATAGAATATTTCTTACATCTATGGCATGATAGAGGAGACGAATTGAAGGAATTGAGTGGTTCATTTTGTTATACACCGAGTAAATACCTTGCTGGCTCTTCTATAAAGAGGGATCAAAGTCCGGTTTCGGTTTTGCAAGGTCAAGTCTCTTGTTCTAGTAGCCCACCTATGAGGATTGCTAGAGAAAGGAGTGGTTGTGATGTGGGTTTTCAGACTTCAATTCATGTCTCATTTCATGGTGGGGCTAATGGGCTCTTTAATGGGTTTGTGAGGAACGCATTAGGGTCTTGTGTTGATTATGATTCTCCGAGTTTTGAAGTTCACAATAATGGTATTGATGTGGGTTTCATCTTCTGTGGCTGTGGATGAATTGACTTTTAGTATGGAGGACAGTTGCGTGGAGGCTAATTATGAGCCTTATGCTAAGGAATTGCTGTTGGGCGCACAATTAAGGCACAAAATTTTTTGTGATCAAGGCTTTTTATGAGGCTGAGAAAGCACATAGGGGACAGGTAAAAGTTGGAATTTTATTGCTTTTGTTGTTTGAGATTTTTTTTTTTAATTTTTTTTAATTTTGCTGTTTTCTTATAGATGCTCGCCAGTGGAGATCCTTATTTGCAGCATTGTGTAGAGACTGCAGTTCTGCTTGCTATCATTGGTGCTAATTCCACAGTGGTTCCTGCAGGGCTTTACATGACACTTTAGATGATTCTTTCCTAAGCCATGACTACATTTTTAAAACATTTGGAGCAGGGGTGGCCGATTTGGTAGAAGGGGTAAGAGGCAGAAAGTTTCGTGTTCTTTAATGAGTCTTTTTTTTTAGTATATATTGTCTCGCAAATATGTTTATGTTGATTTTCATGCATCTTTCATTACAAAATGGAAGCTGCACTGGACTAACAAAAGACATGTTTGTTGGAACTCCATTATCTGTCCTAGGATGAGCTAGTTACGTGGTGATGTGAAGACAAGTGGAGGAGAATTGTTACCCAGGAGACCTTGTGCTACATGTGCAACTTTGACATGTTTAACAGGGGATAGATTGCTTATGTAATTATAAAATGGGGATTCCTGGAAACAGAGGAAGCAAAGTGATCAGAATACATTTTTTTTATTCAATTGGGAACATCCACAGTACTTGATAATATGTACAGGACACTTTTTGGTGAACCCTCCATTTTCTTTAGTTTTGAAACATAGTTCAATACTAGAGAAAACACAACTTGATTGTTTTATGAGAATTTCCTGTACATCACTACTTCATGGGCCAAAAGTTGTTTGGAGAGTATTAAAATTGATTGCAGTTGTTTATTGAATCAGGCTTAATATTAGAGAAGAAGGCAAATTGATTGTTGTAAGGAAAAAAAATGATGTAGATGAAAATATCTTATGTGGTAAAAAAATATCTAATTTAAGAATTAAGTTTAAAATTACCCTATTCAAAGAATAAAAATTTAAAAATATCTTAGTTAGATAAAACAACTCCTCCTGAGCCATCGGCACTGGATAACTTGTTCATACACTTCAAGTTATGGAGTTTTTTTTTTTTTAAAGAGAGTACTTCTAAATCTTATTTACTAAACTAATGTAGTTTTAATCTTGTTTATCAAAACAAGATAATTTTTACCATGTGGATCAAATAACATACCCTTATCATTTTTTTTAATGCAAAATTCACTAATAATTTTACAAAATTTTAAAAATAAATATTATTTACAATACATCTATATATATTAGTTATGATTATCAGATAAAATTAAATACTAGTAGATCCAATCCCATCAGCTTATCAATAAAATCTAAAAATAATTATTCTAATAAAGTTAAAATAAATAAACTTTAAAGAACCAATAACTCCATTAACAATCTCTTTCTGTAAAAATTCAAATGGCTTAATATCATATCATCAAAAGAAAAATAGAACTGAAGTTAACAAACTCACACCCAAAATCTCAAAACTTGACAAAACCCAAAATATAATTGCTGCCAAAGCATGAGTTTCCTTATTGAGGGTTAAGAAGTATTGGGAGTCCACAAGACCCCAACTTAGTACCACATGCCTGGTAACAGTGGTTGCCAAGGCTCCCATGTCGTTGGCTGATCAACAGTGACAATGACATCTATAGAGCATATGGGGTGCTTCATGCACTCGAACAAAACTGTCGTTGTACTGAATGGCCTACTAATTAATAAGCGTATTATAATTTAAGGGTTTTGGATTTTGGTTTCTTAATCCTCAATAAACGACTTCAGCTCCATTTCTTCTATTGTTGAGTCATTTTAATTTTTATAGAGAAAGATTACTATAGAGTTACTGGTTTCTAAGGGTTTATTTATTTTAATTTTATTGGAGCAATTGCTTTTAAATCTTATTGATGAGCTGATGGGATTGAGTCTGTTAGTATTTAATTTTATCTAGTATTCATAACTAATGAAATGGATGTATTGTAAATGATATTTGTTTTTAAAATTTTATAAAATTATTAGTGAATTTAGCATTAAAAAAAAAAAATTGACATGTATAGATGATTTGATCTACCTGACAAAAACTATCTAATTTTGATAAATAAAATTAAAACTACCTTATTTTAGTAACGAGAAATTATTCGAAGATCTTGGAATTTCACATAAGATAAAGATCTTTTTCATTTATTGTGTGTTATGTGTACATTTTTTTTCATATAGGATAAAACAAACCCTTCCATTAAATAAAAGAAATTAACTCTTCATCTTCTCTCCTTCCTCCGCCATCTCTCTCTCTCTCTCTGGGTGCCAGGAAAAACTTCATGTTCCTCCACCCACAAGGACTGGAATTGACAGTAATTATGGGGTAGTCATTACTTTCGTGTGTTCATTGTAATTTAAATTGACAATAATTATGGGGTATTCATTCCTCCTTAAAACCTTTTTGCACTTTTAGATATAAAAGTTATATTATAATATCCTGCATTGGTGGAAGTCATTCGAAATCATTTAGTGGGGGGATAAATTACACATTCTAAGTCCAGGCGATGTCGTGCATGTTGCAAGCACAGGACATCACTTATTCTTACTCTGATGACCGAGACCCCATCAACTCTCAAGTGCGAGAGTGCCCAAGTCCTTGAAATTAGTCTGTCATTAAACTATTAGTGGATTCTGATTGTAGAGGTTATAAAACTAGTAGTTGCGGTGAAGTTATCATCATAACACTGGAGAATTCTTCAGTACCTGTTGTAGTCTGACTTGTATTTTCCATTTTCTTCAGGCACTTAACCATCCTGGCTCATGCTATTAGGATTCAGATCTCAGTGATTGCAAAGTTCCATGACGTTTCTCCTAGAACACCATTTGGACTGGTTAATGATGGAACAGTGATTTGAAAGTTCCTGTTATCTATGTTATTAACATTTCTAGGAACCTAGAACTTGATATTGCAACTTGCTTGTGCCTTGAAGCATCAGATAAGGAAACTAGAAGATGAAGTTCTTTCTTGACACCCAGAGAGAGAGAGAGACGACGACGAAGGAAGGAGAGAAGTTGAAGAGTTAATTTTTTTTATTTAATGGAAGGGTTTGTTTTATCTTACATGAAAAAAATATACACACGACACACAATAAATAAATAAGGACCTTATCTTGCGTGGAATTCCAGGAATAATTTCTCTTTAGTAAATAAGATTTAGAAGAACCCTCTTTTAAGAAAAAACTCCCAATTATGTCTCCCCAGTTCTTAGGCTGGATTGGCTTTGCTGGGCCACTGGGCCTGGTAACTTCGTCAGACTCTCATACCTGGGCCTACTTTGCAATCATGGGCTTTGCTCATTATAAATAAAAGTCGTTGTGTATTTGTGAAAAAGAAAAGGTGTGCTCAAAATTTTCACTTATTAGGAAACCAAAGGAATAATGCTTGCGATGCTTCCATATTATGAAAACAATTATAGTATATGAATAATTCTGCATAAATTATTAAAATGTATTGTTCCAGATACATAAAATACTTAATTAAAATTGTTTATGTATAAAGAGTGAGATATTGTAGTATAGTTAGAGAATCTATGCTACTGCAATAATATCTCTATCGCTCCTTTTTTCTATAAAACAGCTATTATCGAAACCAAAAAAGCTGCTTTTTCTTTTTTTTTTTTTTTTTTTTACCTGAGCTGCAGTCAAATATCGATTAATTGAAATTAAATAGCTCGTCCCTTCACTATATCCAAGCTCATTTCACTAGGATCAGTTGCCTGCAACTCGAATTGAATTCCATCCAATTCTCTCTTGAATCTGTCCTTGGAGGTTGCATAAAGCATCTTACTCCTGATTTTTGACGTGTCGGGTGACCTGCATCGTGAGCAAGAGGAGCATTCAATAAAAAAGTGAACGAATTTTCTAGTGATGTATTTAACTATATAGCAAGCATGATAAGCAATGAATCGTCTATGAAAATAAATCAAGATACGTACTGTCTGTAAAGCAAAAGCCCAATTGCCATGATCCACGTGCATGCCACATCAATTGTGTCACACCACGATAGTATATCTATCATAGGTCCATTTAATTTTAAAAATAACCATATTAATCACACAACGAAGGTGGGCTTATGGTGGTTGAGTATCCAATTCATAAGGTTTATATTACCCTTTTTTAAGAAGAATAATGAGCATGAGGCCCATTATGGAAAAAAAATAAAGTGAGTTCTAATGTTCAACATTGAGGGAGGATTACTTTCATTATATTATATACTTTAAGGTCTGTTAAGTTTTCAATTAATCAAAATCTAATGATTAAAATTTGGGATAAGGTCTCATTTTGAAAAAAAAAAAAAGATTTAATTATATATATTAAAAATATGATGGCAGAGCATAATGAACAAATGCAAAACAACAGAATTGTGTAGCTAAAGACGTAATTATATATGGAAAAAAAAAAAAAAAAAAAAAAACATGTTTTTATGGTTACCATGCAACAAAGAAAACTTTGCTCTTATGGCATTGCTCAGGGGTTGTAAAATCAAAATCATAGACAGCATAACGACATTCATCGGGAGGAAGAGAGTTTGTGAAGTCGTCATATGTCTCTTCAGGACTCCCAAGCTTTTCAACAGTAACCTGTTGGACGTTTTCATCAATCTTGAATACAATGAACCGGTGGTTCCTCTTTGCTTTTAGTTCCAAAAACTTGAGCTTACACTCGTCATTCACTGCCATTCCTGATGCCGCATTTGCCTATTACAAAAATTAAAGAATTGCCAAGTTTATAGCAGCATGAATTGAAAACGAGACTATGTCTCTCCACAATAAGAAGAAACGTGATCCTATATATATATTTCAACACAATCCTACAATTAATCAAATGCATGTAATTGGAGCAAATTTTTATATAGTTAATATTGAGCCTTTTTCTAACATTTTAATTTTAATCTTATCCCTCTTGTTGATTTTATTCTGCATTTTTTTCCCTCATCCGCCATCGTATATAAAATTACGGAAATGCTAAAAAAAAATTGAAAAAGTTAACTCATAGAAAGGTTTGAAACATACCATGGCTTCCTTCCAAAATGGGAGGTGAATCTATATATTGAAACGATAAAGGAATGGAAAAGGCGACAAGATCGAACTCAAACAGAGAAAAGAGAGAATTTAGATCCTTAGTTTTGAGTTTCGACAAGGCTAGGAAAAAAAAAAAGGAAGAAAAGAAAGGTGGGAAGAAGAGATTTTCGTGGGAGAA